AACGCATGTTTACAAGGGCTCTTGGTTCGTTCAGAGGAAGGGAGTCCTTGGCCACAATATTTTCATTAATATCAGCATTTACCGGAATTAATTCAAACCACTCCGTTCGGGCCCACCAAGCGTCAGATCGTGATCAGGGGGCAGGGCCGCACTGGGCAAGTCACCGGGTCAACCGAGTACGAGCGATAACCTGCCCACCACCTTGGGACCATCTTGATTCTTGAGACCATATACGACAGTCTCCAGTACGGCATAACATCTTGAGATGGTCGAAATCCCACACGACCATAGTCCGTCTATGACTCAATCATATCGCTTCTCTTTGTCTTCCCCGCCACGGCAAGCGAGCGCCAATCACCCAAGACCTGCTCTGGCATTCATGGTCACAATATTGACCTCACACTCACCCATCACAGGAGCCGGCCAGTCAGACACGCACTTCGATTCACGGGTCAGCAACTCATGCTCGGGCATAGAGTGTCTGGAAAATTTGTTCAGAAGAACACCGATAACCTCAGTGAGTACGTATACAAAGAACAACTTCGATAAAATGAATGTCGTGCTAGAATCTGAGAAGATGTGTGAAATAACATGATACACCATTAACACAGATGAGGCCTTGTGAGTTCATCGTTTACGTTTGGAGTGTGTACCAGGACACGTAAGTTCGTGCTTCGTCTTCGCGTACGTGCGCGTGAATTCTCTTTCACAGCGAGTGCATATAGCCTTGATTTTGCGGAGATGAATGTTGTCCACATGGCGAGTGTGGCTATCTTTCTTGAGAATGCTCGAGCATCCGGGCCACGTACACTTCACTTTCTCCTGACCGCCGAGCACGATGGGGAGACACAAATGTGGGTAACGTCTGGCTGAAAACCCGGATGTAGTCAGCCTCTCTGTGGCATGCCCATCTACGAATGACTGGAAGGACGGTACGATGTGGCTAATGGGACCGGCGACCATTAGATCTGGGCGTCGTATATGGTAAACGTTTGAATGAAAGACTGCGGAGATAGCGAATTCTACCTGGGGAAAGTTGACCGACATGAGGATCTGCCATGACATCAATGACCCCGACAGGTTCTTGCAACAGAGAACCGTACTCTTGGGGTGTTGCCAACGACGGCGAAATAGTATCGGAATCATTGTCTGCTGCGGCATGAAGCCAGGCACTATAGATGACTTGCAAGTTCATGATGTTATCCATGTTAAATTTCGCGGGTAATGACGTGAGCGCAAGGAATCAGTAAAGTAGATGATGCTTAGCTGCGTGGGCCTGCGTCATTCCATAAGTCAAGGGCTCTTTTATCTTGAGGATTGACTATCAAAGAACATGAGTTTGTCTGATATGCATACTAGTACACGCGAACTTTGTTTCAAAAGATCCCAGGAGCTGGACTTCCTACCCCCACACAGCTCACTATAGATATTAGATATTACCCCAATGATGCATCAACGTTCACCGAACGTTCTGCGGTGGGGTGGCATTCTAGCGTTACCTACCATCTAAAAATGGATTCATCAACAAGTTTTGAATAACGCGGCACGGGTGTGTGGGTCCGAGTCACCCGGTCACCGTGACGGCGAGGCGGTAGTGCGTAACCAATTCTAGAATCGACACCCACACCAACCCGACATGCGCGGAATATACGGATACACCACGGGCACTTGCCAATAATTCCGTTGACTGATGTCCATGCGAAGGGATTGCCGATGGCGGATGGCAGACTGGGAGATCTAGTTTGGGGGTTGGTGAGGCAGATACCGAACCGCCACGTGCCAACTCAGGTCTCTGCCGCCGACTCCGAGTCATGTGTCTTGGCTTGTAGACTGGGTAGCGCTCGCCGCTCGGAGACTGAACCCTACTATCATGGTGCGCAGAATTAAAAAAAACCCGTTCATGTTACTTTCGGAGCTTGTTTAGTATGGAAGTGACGAGTGCGTGTGCGAACTTTTCCAAACGAAGGAAATGAGGACAGGCGAGGACGCAGGTTGCTCTTAGAAGAAGGGATCGTCTCCATTCTTCTATAAAGGTCCGTATAGGGGAGACTAAGGTTACTCCGATGATGGGCACGAAGCAAACGTCGAGTAGTGCGTTCTGAAGTACGAATGCATGTGGTGGACATTCGAACATAGATGATGCCGACAACTTGAAGCTCTTCCAATCGAGTCGTCGAACGATCGAAGGTATAAAATATGGTCTTCAAGGTCGACAATAATACCCTGGTGGCATAATGATTCAATGTGTTCGATGCTGGAGCGAGCGACGACTGGAAGTTGTGGTTGTGCTGCTAGTGGTACCATCAATCGGCCTCAAGTACGCGTGATCTGAGGGAGTGATATTGTAAAGGGGCAAGGTACCTTTTGCAATGTGCATTTCTTGTTCCAGGAGAACACGAAAGGAGACTATTTTTCAGAGACGTTTGAGTTGCATTCGAGGCTCGAGCGGACTTGAAGTCGTTGCTGCATTTATAAAGAATTATTTACAGCAAGTATGACTCAATAATTAAGGCAAATGTAGAAATAACGTTAATATTACTTTGTTATCATACTGTTAGAATATGCAAATCTGTCTATTAGAGAGAAAGTCAAGGGAGAGTCGGGTTCAGGCATGTATATGACCGGTAACCGGTGAACCCACGACTACAACACATGTATCGAATCACAAATAGTTATCAACTAGCATAAAATTATCGTTCGCTTGAGATATGTCCGCATTAAATTAGTTTAATCATAACTCGACCTCTTGACGAACGTTCACTTCCTGCGCTTCCGGACCTCTTTCAACTGTCGCAACACCATGCCTGCAGGATTTCACGCGTTCGAAATGCCTTGCAGAGGCATCATCGCGAGATAGTCTGATGCAACATACCGAGCAGCACCATTTCATCTTGAGATGGGTAACGATGATATGTCGGACGACATTCTCTCTTTTCATTACCTTTCCACAGCTACCCCAGTGACAAGGGACCTGCCTCTTACTGTGTTCCACGTGAGCCTTGTGCCACCTTTGTATATGCCTTGCCAATCGTATACGATCGCCCATGACGTGCATACCGCATTCCTGCCCGTTGTGCATCCAGCGACAGAGATAAGTGATAACGAGACCGCCATTAATACTCCTAGTCTCCTTGACGTCTTCTTCATCAAGGACAATCCCGTTGCAGAGCAGAGCTTTTGCGGGCCGGTCGGCATAACTCGACCACGAGGCTCTGCGTCTCTGACGCGGTGATTGGGAAGCAGGTTCATAGCCAGCTGACCCCGTACCAGGAGTCTGTGGACCTATTGCAGCGGTTTCATTATGCCGAGAGACTGAACCTTGAGGTGTGCTTTCATGTCGAAGAGCCGATGGCGTCGGTCTCGAGTGGAGTGAAGGAGATTGAAACGCAGCGCTCGCGGAGCTGCCTACAGCCTCTACTTGAGGATACCATGAGCCATTGGGTGGTACTTGCGCCGGGGATTGTGGACTTCCTTGCAGCATTGCAGTCCTGCGGTCTTCATTCAAGACTTCTAATGAATGGACGGTCCCAGTATGGACTGGTCCATGCACAGGCCACATGAAAGAGCTGCTAGCTACCATGTGCGAAAGAGGTGAATGAATTGGTTGATATGAATTGTGAGCAGATGTCTCGAGTTCCGGAGGTAGAGTTGCAGAGGCACTGGTCAACCAGGCACTGTCAGTAGTCTGAGAAACCGTGATTGTTGACACCACATTGCCATCGTGCCTCAATGCGCTATAATCAATGAATGGGTCGCCCTGAAAATTCTGATGGCTTCTCGCGAGAAAAGGATCATCAGATGGTATTATCCCGGTTCCACTGTTTCGTTCATGAGAGATGCATAAACGTAGAGGAATCCTGCTACTCACGGTGCAGTAACCTCATTCGTGTAGGACAAGGTGGGGCTAAACAACAGTAACGTTGATCAGCTGGGGAACTAGCCAAATAGCAAAGAGACCTAGCGTACAATGACCATGGTGGTTCAACACTGAAAATGGGCGAAGATCTTGGGGGGGTCAGAGACGTTGTTTCCTGCCTGGGTGAGAAATTAAAGGGTTTCCGACCGCTGTCACAATGCATGATGAGCAACTCAAGGAGGTAACAAATCACTAGGCAATGAAGGCGTACTAGGAATCAGAGAAAGGTCCCTCTTTGAAAGACATAGAAGTAGAAGCGTAGCCTTGGTTTTCAAAATACCGCTAATAAGGAGTACTTGTGAGCCAGTATGAGCCAAAGCGGCAAAGAAGGAGCGCTTTATACTTGTAAGGATGTGGTTTCTAGGCCACACTCTGCGATGTGTGAAATATCAAAAAAGCACTATTTGGTCCATTGTGTATATACATTCCCTTCCTGTACGGAAATGGAGGTTCATGTATCATGTTTCCACTGGTCGTGCGGCCACTTGAAAAACACTCGGGCGGTCCTGTTGTAAAGACATGAATCGACTTTCAATAAAATGGAGCTGTAACCAATGTAATCCGTAGTGTGCAAGACTGCGAGCGATCGGTGTATAAAGTTTAGTCATGGTGAATGGCAAAATGTGACGCACAGGAGGTTCATAACGGCCATTTCAAGCTGGCTGACATGCCATAAATATGAAATTGGAGGTCTGCGCGCAATCACGTTAAAGCCGAGGCGCAATGCCCCCCACGTGGCAACATGTGTCCAGCTCGTGCTACCCCAGAAATTGGCCTGATGATAGGCAGCACAGCAAGACGTACACGATTTAGGAGGTGCTGATGGCCATTCACGAGAAGCACTGAATTTACAGGAGAACAAGATATGGAAGAAGTGGCAAAGCGCCTGCCGATATGACAGCGTCCGAGAACTGTAACGTCCAAATGAGATGAAGCGGGAATAAGACTAGTTCTTCGCGTAGAGTGCCGAGCTTGCACGAAAAAAAAATAGGTAGATGATGCTGGTGGACGGCCCTATCAACGTTGTTTGGCAAAAGCTTCTGATCCAAACAACCGCAATTAGATTGTGGCTGAAATATTCTCACGCTACTCGATCCACCTTGTTCAGTGAGTGAACGTCGAACGAGTTTAGATCTTTTGTCGAAAACCCATGGCCTCAAATCAAGCTCGGAGGAGTCGAAGCCGGTCTAGAAGCCAAGATAGAAACACTTATGACAGGAGAACTACGAGGAACAGAGAGTCCTTTACAGCAGACAGAAATATTTCTGGTCATAGCCGACGTTTAGGAACGGATACCGAGAGGGACGCACCTCGTCGGTCTCGATCCCCTCTTCGCTCACGTAGGCGCTCAAGATCACGGTCTCGCAGCCCCAGGCGTAATCGCCAATTGCCAAGGTCTCGGTCCCGCTCCCGTGGTCCCGAGCGCTCACACTCTAGGGAAAGGCATGAACGTCCTAAAGACAGAGGAAAGCACAGGCACAAGCGTTCACGCTCTCGTTCAAGTTCTGCATCAAGTTTATCTGACACTGATTCGGAGCGAAGACGTCGTAAGAAAAAAGACAAGCACCGCAGTCGTGAGGAGAAGAGGGAAAGAAAAAGAGAAAAGAAAGAAAAGAAAGTGAGTAGTCCTAAGAATTATAACCATCAGCGAACCCGTTTCTCGCAGAAGAAAAGGCATGGGACGGCCTCTGGTGCTCAGTGGGGTAAATACGGAATTATCAGTGAAACTGAGTCAGTTCATTTGCAACAGCCGCGGCTGTATGGCTAATTTTGTCCCCTAGCTTCTACAACAAGACCCAAGAATTCCGCACGTGGCTTCTGGAAGAGCGCAAAATAAACCCGGAGGCCATATCCAAGGACCAGGAGCGCAAAGAATTCGCTGTTTTTGTTGAAGATTATAACACTGGTGTGTGATTTCAGATAGCTTTTTGCCGATATCGTTTAGCGTTTGGTAGCGACCCTCCCTCACGAAAAATACTACCACATGGAGGCATACGAGCGACGAATGACGTCGTTACGAGCCGGCGAGTTCGTTCCACCGGCAGAAGACTCCTATGATCCTGAGGCTGATATACGGGCTCACTCTTTACGACACAAGAGAGCGCCCGCCGAACACGAAAGTTATCTTAGCAAGGAAGAGCTTATGGAGTTGAGGAAGGTTCAGAGCGAGAGAGTTGAGGTAAGTTGTTTGCAATACAGACAATGCTAAGATATCAATATCACATTCGTTAGGTTGGGAAGATGAAACTCTTGGGTATGGAAGTGAAACAAAATTTCGGGGTTAGGATGGATAGAACTATGTTCGATGATTGATTGGTATTAGGTAGAGGGTATCCTAACTCTAAGGTTTCAATACAATGTGTACATCTTTACTGCATCCTGCAAAAAGTGGGACATGAGCGGACAAGAAGTTATGAGACGGTCACGTTTGCTTGCACAATCATGATAGCCGGTTTACTTACGTATGCAGAGGTAGTACTTGTACGGGCTTGTACGGGTACCGCACCATCACAAATATCCTTTGCTTCTCATCATGGTCGACATAGTTGTTCTCGGTGCGACAGGTATGGTTATGTATGTTATTATTCACCAGCAACTAACTAGTGGTCCCCAAGGCTATACTGGTCGTCTCATAGCTCAGTACCTTGCCACGCATCCGCAGCGTTCGTCTTTCACGTTTGGTCTTGCTGCACGGTCGCAGTCAGCACTCGACAAAGTTTTTAGAGGACTCAATCTCTCGAAAGACGATGTACCTGCATTCATCATGGACGTTACGAATTCCAGTGACGTGAATGCTGTGGTACAACAGGCCAGGGTTGTAATTAACACCATTGGTCCATACTGGCGGTGGGGAACTTCTGTTGTCCGAGCTTGTGTACATCATGGGAAACATTATGTGGACTTGACTGGCGAGGTTCACTGGATAAAGGATATTATCTTTGAGTATGTGAAAGCCTATGTTGATTTTGAGAAGTACCAACTTGACCGCTTCTTAGACTCGATTACGCAGCTGTCAAGTCGGGTTCAATTGTGGTCCCTTGCTGCGGGTTGGACTCAGTACCTTCTGACATTCTTGCATTCGTCGCGAACAAAACACTGAAATCCTTCGGTGGGCCGTCTACCACAATAGATCTCTCCACTTCGGCGTGGAAGCTTGGTGGTGCTTCTATTTCAGGAGGCACTTTCTCCACAATCCTCACTGCATTGGAAGACGTTCCAAAGCGCAAACTGCTCGCGATAGGGCAGAATTTTGCATTGAGCCCAGGTTTATCTCGCAGCATTGAAGGATACGGTGGTGGCTGACTTGATGTTGATTATCAGTGGAAGGAACCCATTCTGCTCGACCCCGTATGCTTTATACCTTGCCGTACTCCGACCCACCCGTCTACGGGGCGTGGTATTTCATGGCGATCACCAATTCTCAGGTCGTGCAGCGCTCGTGGGGTCTGTATGAACTCGCGCGCCGTCTCAACCATCATAATGCGACCGCTGTCGCTCCATTCACCTACGGTCCAAACTTCAAGTATGAGGAGTTCGTGATTCTGCCAAGTGCACTATACGCTATGGTATATTCAATCGTATTTGCTGCGATAGCAGCATTGCTTGTTTGCTTCCAGCCTGTTCGTTATCTTCTCCTTGTCCTTGTAGCAAAGGAAATGACTGTGTGTGGATGACTTTAACAGGCAAGGTGGTTGGCTCGCAGAATAATGCCCGGTCCTGGTGAAGGCCCGTCTGCGAAGTGAGTGCAATCGAACTCATTGATCTCACAACTTATGTCATGCCACACGCAGACAACTACAGAGTGGCTCTATCAAAATCACTAACATCACTACGTCCAGTCTCAACTCACAAGGGGAAAAGATTGTTGTTCGAAGTATTTTCCGGGGTCGAGGTGACCCTGGATACTTCTTATCATCCAGTAAGCTCTATTTATACTTCCAGTGAACCATCAATCAAGTATTCATTCAACTTTTCAGTAATGATTTCGGAATGCGCACTAGCGCTGGTTTTGGATGGTGCAATCTTGCCTCAGATAAGCACAGGTGGCGGCATTTTGACTCCCATGACTGCTTTTGGAGACGTTCTCGTTGAGAGGTTGAGGAGATCAGGACATGTCGACATCGAAAGTGAGTTGTTAGTGGGGACAGAGGCACGTAAGACACGTTGAGTGTGGACTCTGATCGTTACCTGTACTCTTGAAGTATTACTTGCGTTCCTTCGACAAACCTCATTCCGAAGCATATTTTATTTATTTCTGTCACATCTCCGAATTCACACTTATTTATATAAACTGTGCATAAGTAAGTCATCGCTGCGAGTCAGTTATCGGAAACCGCACGAAACTGCCTGAACCGACAGTTTTGAGTACTAAGCTCCACCTGGAATTGCCAATTCAGCTTAGAGATTGGTTACAGATTTGGGGCCATACTATGGCTCAAGCTTTCATATTGCAAACTTGAACGGGTCGAGCCTCGAAGCCCATGCGTCACGGTGTCGCTGAGTATAAAAAACTCCGCCTCCTTGCTAGTCAATTTGCAACCTTGGTTGAACGTCCAGATCCCAAGATCCTGTAAAGGATGGACGATAAAAGTTCACATGGAGCATCAAAACACAAGTTCGATAGATATTGTCGAGGTTTAGATCTACAGCGGAAGAATCAACGAAGAGTAACCGTAGGACAGAGGAGCTTAGCCGTGAGTTACTTTTAAACACCGCGACTGGAGGTTTGTTTTTCTATACCTCTTGCCTCGGATGTGTTCCTGTGTTCGGCTCCAACATCATGAGCCAACCCTAGCTGACGATCAACTGGTAGTATTGATATTGGGTGTTGGTGCTTACAGTTGATCCTTAAAAGGTTCCTGAGTTTGGGAGGGGGGGGGGGCGGGGGGGCGGCGTGCTCATACGCATTTAGGCCCTGATGATGTTCTCATTGACCGTGCGAGACGACACGAAAGGATTGAATGATAACGGATGTAAATGCTCTTTAGTCAAGAATGATGTAGATTTGATACTTATCCTGGGGTGAACATATGTGTGTTTGAATCAAGCGACGTCTGAATCATGTGGTACTAGGGAAATGAGAACAATCATTTTGTGCTGAGCACACACATTAACCACATGTCCGAGGGGCGTGACCGGTTGACCACTCTAGCGAAGAGCTTGGTTGTTGTCCTTGTAGTTGCGGAAGGAAAAGGTTTGAATAAAAAAACTTTATCGCCTTAGTCTCCAGTCAGACCTTGATAGAAAAAAGACAATATCCGTTCCTTCTTTCCGAATTATCGCTCATTGGGCGCTAATCGGCCGCTGTAGTGATTGTGTGCCACGAGTTGTTGCAAAAGAACAACTTGGTCTCCGGCGAGTCTAAACATCGAGCCAGTATATAATACACAGACATGCAATATGATGACAAAATCTGTTGAAGTCTGCTATTTTTTGGGACGCATCGCGGATCTTTAGCAGGGTGCTTGGCTTATCAAGCTCAAGTCGCTCTCACGCATCGCCGAGCGTTGAAGTCGACTAAGATCTCTCAGTGAAACCACCATCGCAGCGTCCATCTGATGCGTTTTTCGGGGTTTCTTTGAGCTTGTCGTGGGATATACAAGTGGCAAGTGGCACTTTACCTACAATTTACGGATGGCAAGCCCGATCGGATGATGACTCAATCCCATAGACGGACGGGCCCAAATGATGCATTTTTCACGATTTGTCGTGGGATATACAAGTAGGAAGTGCCATTTGGCCCGGAATTAATGAATGGCAAGCCCGATAAGACGACGGCTCGATTCCAGACGAACGGACCCACCCAAGCAATGTGTTTTTGCACTCATAATGCATCTACCTGGCAAGTCTCTTGGTCACGCTCCTGGCGCGTTACTAAACCAAAAAGGTCCCGGCATGCCTGTTTCGGTGATAATTAGTTTGACAACCACCACAAACCCCGCAGTCATAGTGCTAGCCATGGCCATCCGATGGAAAATCCGTGATCACTATCGCCTGGCACGAGTCCGATCGTTACTGACTGGGTGCCCTCACCTACCAGCTGGCAGGGTATGCTCGCCCTACCAGCTGGCGGGGACAAAAGAGATATAAAACAATATCTTGTTCCAGCTAGAACAGCCATTCCATCTGACGAGCCAACCGATACAGAGACATAATCAGTCCCAGGATATCGACGGGTAGGCTAATTTGCGCCGTAAGTAATCATTAGAAGGGCTGAGGTTTTTTTCAACAGCAATATACCTATAGCAGACGTCCTGGACACTATGAATAGTGAAGCCGATAATGACGCACTACTTCACTTCATGGAAGAGGTGCGTGCATTATGGGGACGAGCAATATTTTCAGTTAAATGTTTCCTGCAGGATGAGGGGCTCGCCTTATTTCTCTATGAAAAGTTCGTCCACAACAAGGAGACTCCAATTGAAGCGGTGTCAGAAGCTGTCCTTCTGCAAGCGTTGGAGGAATATTTCGCGATTCCGCCCACTGAGGCCAGCTCGGGCATTGAGGACCGCCCTGAATCCTCCCAAGACGGTCCTACAGAGATTGGCGTCCCAGATGATATGCAGAAATGCGGATGGATGGATGAGGCCACACATAAAGAGTGCCCTGAGCTCGTACCAGCAGGTCGGCAATCGATGCTCTCACATCTGAACAAGGCGCACAATGTCCGTGGTCCAGAGAAAACCGAAATAAAGTGCATGTGGGGTGTACTCCAGTCAGGCTACAAAATCCCATGCGGGGAGAAATTCCAGCGCCGCACCGCACCCCGCCACATGACGAAGCATTTGGGGTTTCGTTGGCAGTGCGAGCAATGCGAAAAAAGCTTTGCCCGCTCAGATCTTCTGAGGAGTCATGAACGTGATAAACATGAGGTCCAAGACATAGGCTAGTGCAACAGATGCTAAATTGCACAGCTAGCCCAGGTGAGCGTTGCGGACATCATGTAAAGCAGTCGAACTTACTCATTGCTGGCCAGGTTTTATCATGTACTAAGCGCGTTGCCCTAGCACACATGTACCATTACCACATCATGATATACCGATGCCTACCGTTTTTCGTCGCTTGAATTTGATGACCTAAGCTGCTAATGATTTCAACATGTGTTTAAAAGTCGACTTCATCACCCCCAGTGGTTCAATAGACGCGAGAGCGCCGAACTCGAGATAGTCCACAATGGCGCGGTCAATACCTGAACCCGAGCAGTAAAGATACAAGATACAAGTCCCTGGTTACCATCGCTAGTGGAGAACGGTTTTTTGACCACACGAAGTCGGACGACCCGACATATATGAAGAAGCTGAAATTCAGCCTGCAGCGGCTGACTCGAGGCTGCCTAGTAATACTAAGCTTTTATGAATGGAGACGTGGCTAGGATCGTATAAATGGGCCGCAAGATGTAGGTTTGTGAAGACCGCAGCTCACAGCTGCCAAATACACGGGCTAGAGCCAGGACGTACGTACATAGTAGCATTGGCCGTTCACTGAGTACCGAGTACTGAGCGCACTCGTCTCCGATAATCGCACCAACTCTGATTTATGTCACAGTGACGTGGCCACTGGCCAGTCACATGCCTTCAACTTGAAATCATTACCATGTATACCGCAGTAACCGTATTAACTGCAGTACCAGTTATGCATGCCTCGTACACGCGTTGGGCGCCATTTTTGATGTCTCGGAGCTCGAGACCATTTCTTTGTCGCCCATAGTCACGAAACTTGGATGGCAGTCGAATTCGATGGAGTAGGTTCTAAGGTTCCACATGATGAAGAAAAAATTGCCACATTTCATTAACGTTAGTAAGCCTACTAGTGACGTGCGCCAAGAGCAAAGGGCATGAATTAACTGAGTTGTCACATAGAGCTCATGCCACAGTACTATACGTCGATCTTCAAACCGACGAAGGCAGAAACGACGAATCTTGCATGAAAACGCGACGCCACGAAATCCGGAGATTTATGCAAGTGGCAAGGAACCAGCTGCCATTGACCGTGCCATTCAACTTGAAGTTGTATGCACAAGTCGTTGCTGGTTCAACTTGAGCTTGAACACCACGATCATCTCGCGGTGATGGCGCATATTGGCAGTCCGCCTCAGCGTATGTGTATAACGTGTTCTTGTATGTTTAATGTCATCACTGATTATCTCCTACTGCCGCCAAAAGGTACAACATGCGGCCCCTGCTCAGCGCATCAATCCCGCTAGTATAGCACCGAAGAATGATGAAGTCTCACCCACAGGCCTAGAATGACCGTCAAGCACGCTGGACAGTGTCGAGGCCTACGACTTCTCAGATTGGACGGATATGTAGTCTTGAACAGATGTACGCTGGGTGTGTGACGCGCCAGGCCCATCATCATTGAGGTTCCTCATCCACAACGGAAAGGAGTAGGCATGCTGCACGGATCAGCATATAGAGCACGATATTCATTGGGTACGTCTCGAATGATCACACGGGACTCGATGCCAGTTTACGGACCTTAGCTGATTCTCCATCTTAGGCACTTTGGGTTGTTTGCTCTCTTGCACGATCGATCGTATAGCAGCACCAAAAAGGCCCCCACTGCAACGCCAACGGCGCATGCAGTCGTCTGTGTTGCGGATATGCCACGACTCATGTTCTGTGATTAGATGAGCTATCGTCACCCTTGAGAGAAAGTGAGACCATAATCAAGACAGCAGGTGACGACCGATTACTGTCAGGCCTGGGTTCATGCCCACGAGGCGCCGATGAATCTGTACCACCTAGTGAGGCGGTAAAGGCGCAACATAAACTCGAGTGAGCTACAGGCGCTTTGCTAAGCATCGAATGTCGAGAATGTCGACCGTAATGCAGAAGAATCGACATTTCTTCCGGCATCTCGATGGAAGAATCAACCTGGGACTTTGTTGTGATAAAGGATTCATGCCGTGAATGCATTCAAGTTGAGTTGTATTTTATGGATGGGAGTTTGTGTAGCTGAATATAGATGTGTCGTTCGATGTCAAAAAGAAGGTCTCGACCTTCAAGTAATCAGGCGCTTATAGGTGAGCCATTCGAATGGGTCGCATACGATGTACTCCACTCAACTCGCATACTGTGCGACACCAAATTGCCTGAATCCCGATAATCTGGTATACTCGACCTCGACGGGTGCACAACCCATTTGTGCCGTGCAAAAAACCTACTAGGCTACGGTACGACACACAAACACAATTCAACATGCAAAACCAACGCCGTCCTCTCCACTGCATCGATCGTCCTTGAACTGCAACCGATGGTCTGTCTGTCTTGTCTTCTACCTTACTAATCTTTTCTACTAGTTGATGAGGCCAAGGTGGCGGGGGATTCATACTTTTATCGGCTGTGCAAGCTACCAGGAGCCTACAAATAGAGCCACATTGACCCACCTTTTCCACATCCACTTCTCGTAATTACAAGTTGCAGCCTGAAAGCTATCTTAAACCTTTTGCCTTATACCTATTTCCTCACCACCATACTATTCTATGATATCGAATGGATCAACAGTTGTACGCCTATCAATGCAAACCTTTTGCATTTCTCGTTGATGCACTTCACTTTCAAGAGATTGAAAGGAATTCAGTGCATTGGAATTACCTGCACTGCAAAGCGACATTTTTCTCTTTCTTTTGTGTTCGTTTTCTGCGAGTGATTTGTGTAGAGTTCGGTTTATTTGCAAACAACTACAACTGACAATTTCTCTTGTATTCTCCTGGTCTCCGAGTAGATGCAAGCACCTACTTTGGGGACAAGTGCATGTCTTCGTTCGCCATATGGTCTATCTACTCCTCGATTGTAAGTTTTGTCATCTCGTTATGCTTCTTGTTCCAACATTATCACTTATTTTCACCAAGCAATCGAAGCATGAGCTGGGCAGTCGACTTCCTATAGTGACAGTGACGTTCGTGCAGCACCAACATACGAAGCAATCGATATCAGCCTTTTCTTCCTGTGTTGATCGCGTTGGCATTACGTGCCTTACATAACACTGCCAATGGCTCCAACTTCTATTATTGGCATGGTTCATATAATTATGGCGTTGGCAGTCTCATATGAAAAGCCAACGCCGGCCAAGCAACGCGTGGCTTGGCCGCCATCACAATGGCGTTCCATGGCGTTCCATGGCCATGGCTGGCTACGGCCCTGCGTATGTATCGCACTATGCTATTTTGTGCTTAGCGCTCAACCCAATATGGTCGATCACGGAAGCCAGCCGTGGATTCAGAAGCTAGCCATGCCGCGTGATCTGGATGTGCCAACGGAGGCCAGCAAGCCAATCATCGATGGGAATGGTGAGTGGCGTTAAAGGCATGTTATCCTGGTGCTGACATGGCGTGTGGCACTCTCCAAGTCCACTCCATATCCGTTACACTGTCAATTAGCGATGAGTCTGGACAAGCCCCATATTTCGTATCATACTGCCAGTACTTGCCATCACCACAGCAAGTATTAAAATAGTCCAAGGCGTGCGACAATACTACGATTTACGGTCTTACGAAATATTAGTTTGGCCTATCGGACCATTCGAGCACTAGGCCAACTCGTAACCTGGCCTTTGAAACCCGATTTATCGCACAACCCCACAGTCAGCAGTCAAAGTTTTGACTTCTGGACATGTTTTAGATCGGGCCAAAGTACGACGTTTCTTAATTAATCTTTTCAGTTTCCCAAAGAAGCCAATTTTACAAGATTATTATTTGGTTAGTCACAATCGATGGCCAGGTTTACACGTTCTAATGAGGTATTGGTTGGCCCATCGGAAGATACAGCCAAAGACTTCTCTGGAATTCCCCGCAGGCCAGCCAACCAGCCATTCTATCCGATGATGCGGCTATTATGGGCAGATATAAAGTCTCGGTTGGCAGGTATCCGTACTTCAGAAACACAATCAGATCGAAATGTCGACCCATAAACTCCTTGTTTCCTTGCACGACACACTCAAAGCTATCCGAATATCAGCCAGGTATGAATGTGCACTCTCGGAATCACCTAGTAGTCTTACGTCCTTTTCAGGTTGCATGCTGAAACACAGGAACAATCAAACGCCTGCCCTTGCTATCCTGTAGTGCAACTTTTTCTCAACTTGACTGAGTTAATCCATCAATGGTTCGTGTGGTTACCAGCCTACGCGAAAATGCTTACTGAGGAGTTCTATTCAGGTCGTCTCTTTCTGAAACTCAATGTCACGGCTCTCCCTCTGTCATTCCCAGTGAATTGACACAGTACGGGGATTCCGTTCTGAACATGTTCAGCACGACAACCAACAATGTGGAAGCACCCTTTGTATTTGAGACAGGGTCACCCAGTTTTAGCGGTCCATCTCTCATGGAGTCCGATTTCATTCGTATGCATCAGCCCCGTCCACACACCGCTCTTGATCCATACAACGGAATGGATGTACCTTATGTTAGCGGGCCTGAATATTTATTCAACCCGGAACCTTTCCCCGAGTTTCTCAACAGCTTCCCTCCAGAGCTTTCCCTGACCCCCTCTGTGGATAACGCTTCATCCCAAACGCGGAGTCCCCATGCTCTCCCGCAGTCGCCTACTACATCATCTTCTGACGGGAGTTTACCTTGCGATTATACATGCCAGTGGGTGAATGGGCACGCCAATGATTGTCATATCGAACCATCATTTAATGACATACAACCTCACGCGCAGAACTTCGGCAACGATTATCCATCTAGTTTTGGCAGCGGAGTTGATCTTCATTCACCTACACCATCGTGGCCGGCGGAGAGAAAGAATGACTGTACATTATTGATGGACGATACGAATGACACTTCAAGCTTCTGTGGCTGGGATGGTGGGCTCTGCTTCTTACCTCTGACTGTCGACAAGTCTGAAGTGGCGAAACACCTCCAACTACACCACGGCATGAAACCTGGCGGCGATAAAGAAAAGATTCCATGCCGATGGGAGGGCTGCGTGAAGGAAATGAGGAAGGAGAGTATATCGCGGCACATCGTTGCGGTTCATTTGGACAACAAAACGGAATGCGGTAGTTGTGGAAAGAAATTTGCTCGGTTAGATTCTAAACTGCGCCACCTAAAGAATCCAAACCGAGAGTGCAGAGAATCCGAATCCCGTGATACTCGTAGCAAACGCCGTCGTCTGTCGTTGCCATGATTTTTCTGTCATACATTCTTGCAGCTTATTGTGCATAATACCGAGGACTTCAGTATCGTCATGTGTGTATACTCGGTTTTGTCACTTTAGTTTGATATTGATCCGTGGACGTATGTACTGCCGAACCTATGCTTATATCAACTTCTATCCCTCCAACGCACTGCCATATGGAAGCAAGCAAAATGACTCAAGTTGTAGGGGTCAAATTCAGGCCTTCGAAGGTGGTTGGATGGGACTGAAATTTTAGTACCTTGATCCGCAGACAATCAAATAACTTAATGGTCGACACCACAACGAAATCCAAGGAAAAAATACATAATTTTCAGTACAAATAGTTTGGATCAACTAAGTAGGAGTATACGGTAGGACATTACTAATAACGGACAGGAGCTATAGGGAGATGCATATGAGGTTGGAATACAAAACAATACTGTAAGATAACACTGAGGACTATATCAACATGACGTTCTGGCTAGCCGACCAACCACCGGCAATGCACACTAGGTCAATCACTTGTGATCCATCTCCGTAGTTAACAACGACGTTTGCAGACTGACAGTTCGGTCTTTCGAGCGAGTGTCGTCGAAAGGCGTCCTCTCGCGAGAGTGAGGACTGACAATGCGAGCAAATCCACCGGACTCCAAGATGGCGCGTCAGGACATGACGGGAGAGATTCCCTGGTTTCGTATGGGTATCAAGACAACCGCTCCAAAGACATGTAATTTTTTCCGTGTCCTCGCTGGTGGCGCTGGTGTTGATATCATGATGTTGCTTAAGGTGTTTAGAAACCTGCTTGAGCTCCACAGGAATGTGCATCCTGCAGCCCTTCCAGTCACATGGGTGCACTCTGACCTCGGTATCATATTCATGCACAGCATCCCGAGCGATCAGGATGGGATTCACCCCATTGAATTCCAGGAGCATATCTTGGACCATGTCAGACGAACTAAAACAAATAACAGTGAGCCACAAAAAAAGGTAGAGAATGTTATCACTAACCGAGCTGGGTTCATATTGAATCAGAGAGGAGTTGGTTTGTGTGGAGTTGGTTTACGTGGAGTTGGTTTATGTGTTTTCTGGGTTCTGCAGATGAGTCGCCTTTATGGCTTTTAACTTGCCTGCTCTATGGCGCTGTTCCCCACCGCAGCGTGACAAGTCTTAGGCGCGAGCGTTGGCTGGGATCGCCAGATTTCCACTAAGCTCTCAGGTTTGTGAAATTTCGTTACAATGGTGGTGGAAGAGATACATTGGTTACGCGCTGTGTCGTTGCAACCTTCAAACAGGTAAGTCGAATGAATGATTCTGGTCAGTATGCCAATGTTGCTCAGCGGATCAACACAAGAGACCGGGTTACCAAATCGATTTCATGTTGGAAGGTTTTTGAGGTGAACTATGTGATGAGGATCCAGGAAAGCCTTCGTGGCACCCGGGAAAATCAACTTTGATCCGTCGATTGAAGATGTGATCAGCGCAGCCACTTGACTGGCATGTCCCTTAAAAGTTCACTAACAGCGACTGAGATTTCAAGGTGGAGTGGATGAAACGACCAGTTGCGGATACAATAGACGGACCTAGACAAATCACCTGTCTCTCTCTCGAGCAACTATAAGAACGCATCAGCGAAATAACGAACAGTTTGGTGTTCATATCATGTCTCGCGTATGCGTGTTATAACGTCTCCAAGGGGCCAAGTGTACCGAAGTAATCGGGATGGTGGAGGGATCTGAATTCAGTATGAAGCTGGCGACCTGTAATCACAGAGATCGAGATATGTATCCATCGGAGCAGGGTTAGACCGACGAGGCCAGGCCCGACAAGTGACTGCCAGTACTGATGTGGGTCCGACGTAATAGTTGAAGTATGAATCACAAGAACCGGCGATAGCATTTCTCTCCCTCCGATTCCAAAACCGTTACGCTGTGGAAATAAAATATTTCAATCGAAAGTGCTGTGGTAAACTTGCCATGACAGTGGGGATTTCAATGAACCTGCATCAAACCATAAATGTGATGTCGAGCGCTGGTAGTACCAGCGAACCGTGGCATCATGCAAGCATGTGGCCGCAGTGAGCATGCCGCGGAACCCTGTCTCACGGATGTGCTTCTATTATGTAAGGTAGCACCGCATGGTGGACATACACGCGTTCCAGTGTATGAGCGTTTGGCAGAAAGATATTACTTGAATTGCGGTGCTGAGCGCTGAGCATGGCGCGCAGACGACAGAACTATCGGATAAGATTCAGAGGCTTGAACAGCAGGTGTGATACGTTGCTAGGAAAATAATGGGCTGGCCTAGTAAGGCATGAACGTTGAACCACCAGGGATCTTGTGAGTTTGGCAACGAGGCAGACCAACTTCAAGTTGAAATCAAGGATTCGGTTGATCACGTGCAAGCGCCCGGCTGTGCATGGCCTCGAGTTCATACTACTACGCTACCACTAGTGTAGTAATAGTACTACTACTGTACATGTGTTCATACACAATTACAATAATTTTTTTTTTTACGTGTAGCCAGGCAGTGCCGCACTAGATGACGGAGAAGCTCCACACGATAGTCCAGCCTGAACTTGCGGAACCGGTACGCTACTCCCCGGCAGCCGCGCACTCTTCCAAGTAGAGCTGGGACCGGTCTCACTCTGTACAGTAATCGATTCAACCATTGCTGTTTGACTGTTTGACTGATGGGTCTTGATGCACACGGTAACCATAAACTACTCCCATGAAAGGACTCAACAAGTCAAGGTAAAGGTCTTCTGTGAGAAAACTCCGAGAAGGAACATGCCACGTGAGTCACGTGGCATGTTCCTTCATTACTCTATACATCAGGAAAAACCCCCTTTTTGTATTGGGGACAATTTGAGCAGATTATATCTAACATAGAAAATCATGTACCGTTTTATTGAATGTGCGCCAAAAAGACCCAATCTTCGACAATATCAGCTAATCTGCCCATCAAAAAAAGACTTCCAAAGAATTGGAGAAAATTCTTAGATACAGGATGCCATATAATTATACTAATTTACGAATGCCATGCACAGCAAGCTGCACCTCCAACAGGTGCGCCTCCTCGCACCGTTTGATCAAGACCGTCAGAGGGGCCAGTGCCTGTATGTCTATCTATGTATGAGTTCAACCAAAACCTGTTGCAGTCCTCAAGAACGGTCTCGTTCGTCCAATCTCGTTGGGCCATGTCACACTACGCACATCGTAAGAATAAGAACAGGACTTTGTGAAATCACTAACGAAGACAACATAGGCATCAACAAATAAACAATGTTACCGCGTTAAATATTTGTGTTTATTTATGGTCTCACGTGATCTCAAGTTCGAAATTTTATCTCAAGTTCCGAATCACGCATCTCTTCCTCATCAACCATGTCTAGTCCCTGTCCCAAGCGCAACTCACGCCAACTGAGAAGGCTGCGATCATGCAAGCTGCAGAGTTGAGAAGGAAGAATCGTGCAGAAGTTAACAAGTCTGAGTCATCTGAAGCCCGTATGTTTCCTAGCCATAAGATGATTTTTTTACTGATCAAATGTTTCATATTCAGTGTTCACATGTAAGGCCCAGTCCGACAGGCCAAAAGTACTGCACTTAAAAAGCAAGGTATGACTCGATGTTGCTTGCGAGTTTGATTTTGATTCAGCTTCAGGGGCGTCTCTGCAACATGAGGCAAATATGTAAGCTTTCTCCCTGTTCATGGCAGTGGAGCAGCGACTCTCTTATCAAGATTCAACACGACGTCACAGTTCTTTGCCCCCTTACTACCGTGAGTGATCAATGCACAATGCAGTCTAGCATTCTGACGCTGATCGCTGTAATGCATAGCTTACATCCTGCGATATGGATGGGTTAGCACTAAGGACGGACACCGGACATCATCTTCTCGCACGATACCGCAGGACACAGAACAGTATGGATCTCTGCCCCATGGATCATCCCTACCGCCCTGCAGTGCTGTTCAATCTAGCCACCGCAAAGTTTCTGAAGGAAGATACCTCGAGCTCGACATACCTATCCCTCTTTTTCAAGACGTGCTGATGGGATTGACCTTGTGCAGGAGAGGCCCGCCGCATCCATGCCTCCGTTATTGCCAAATCAACTTGCTGATCGACGTGACGAGCGCTAGTAGTAAATTTGACTAGGATTCATCTGAATTTGATTGTTTTTGCAATGTTTGAATTGGATCTAATGTGCAACTTACGATTTTCTATTGGGAGTAATTAGAGTAAATTGTCTACAATTGGGAGGGGGACTAAAAAAATCAGTCTCATCGGTCGAATGTATTGAATCCTTGACAATCTGCGAGAATTGTGTGATATTGTGTCAAATTGGGAATCACCAATTTCCCTGATGTGGCAAGGTTAACGTTGATCAAAGGTTAACATCCTTTCCATCACAGTGAGGAAGGAGCCTAATTTTTAGATTTTAATCAGTAGCCTTGCGGTTGTGATTCGAACTTCCAGTGAAGTCACGAGCGCGGACAATGCGGCAGATATATTAGATGATGGACCTACATTTCGTGAGTCGTACCTTGTTGGCACATTCTAGAAGCTATGCCTATGGTGCTCACCTTATCACCTCCTTTGCACACATCACAGTTGCATGTAAATTGTGAGGTGAGATGTTTGAAACGGAGCTACGACCTCTATGTCCCCCACCTATATAGTTGGATGAATACATCAACGGGTTATACTAAGACTCGCCTGATACCAACCACCAACTTATTCAGTCGAACTTTGAACTCCCCGCTATCTGTCAAGATGAACTTCAAATCCCTCGCCCTACTTCTCACTGCTACCGCAATCCCTCAGGTCGTAGTCGCGGGTCCGCTTGCCTACGCTATTTGTCAGACAGGTGAGGTCCAATCACATCATCAAGGTGCACTGCTGACTCGACTTCTTGACAGGATGCAATGGCCTGGCTGTCGCTTGCTACGCCGGTGCCGGGTTCACATTTGGGGTCGCACTCCCTGCAGCACCTCCTGTGCTGCTTGCATGCAATGCGGCCCTTGGGGGGTGTATGGCGGCTTGTGCCGTGGTTGCGCTTACACCCACTCTCTGAGTGGGTGCAATCGTGAATGCGACGACGAGAACCCACAGGCCCCTCCCTGTGTGATGAGAACGGCATCCTTGTTGTAGTATGACAACACGATGCAGGTTTAGCGGTGTACAGCACCAGTAATGCAACTATGGTCTCTTATGTACCTTGTTCCCGTTTGTCTTTCCTTTTCTTACAGCCGGCTGTACGCATTTTCAGAGTCTATGTTTCTATTTCGCACTAGCTACAGACTCCCTATGTCTAGACTATGATTCTTTTTTTCTTTTCGTGGCAATGTATGATCCATAAGATACCAACCGCAGCATGATCCAGGTCCCAGATCGTTGAGAGCGACAGGAAACCAATAACAGCAGGTGCACGATGGACGATCGCACGCCTTTTCAAGTGAAATTGTGCGAGACTCGCTCGACAAGGAAGCGAGAATTTCTCAAACTTTGGTTGTGTTCACGGTGCACGCTAAGAATGCAATTCGGATAGGGCAATCTAGCTTGTCGATGGTTGCTTCGCAGGCCAGTGGGTACGTATATGGCTATGGGCGGCTGTCAGTATCAATCTCTGTAATAAGACAGCCTAGGATGCCTTAACATCGCATGTAACTGTCACCAGCACGTTCTAGGATGGGCGATAGACAGATCCCTGGCACGTGGGAGATGTGAATTTCAAAAGATTGATAGTGGGACAGTCGTATATAAGCTACATAGCGAGAACTCCGCATTAGAATCTGGAACCGAGAAGGATGGAAGGTTGATGACTTCGAGGAAGGAACCTATTTTAATTAGTACCCTTGGGGGACTTCCAGTGGAGCCGTCGACTAGGCGCGAGCGTGGAGCGCCTAGTACATCGCAGGTCAAACTCAGAAATAATTTATATTTAATGATGCTTACATTATCACCGTGCTTTTGACACTGAACCTTCAAAACGGATTTCGGTAGGAAACTGGACAACTCGAACTCCTTGCGCGTAGCGTTATAATCAACGTGCCGCGGCTTAGCAATGTCATTCAAAGTCAGAAATGAAGCAACGCTGTGTGGCAGTATTGATTAGGTATGATGCATCTGATGAACCTATGGCATTTCGCGAGTCACATCACCATCACCTCGCTTGTGATCCCGCTAACGAAAGCGGGGTCCACTGTGCTTAGTCCCACGCCATGCGAAGCAACTTATCACTGATCTTGGAAGAGCTACGATATCTTATCACGAACCCATATAACAGTCGAGTAAACACACTCAAAAAGTCCACCGGGCTCTTCTGTTATTAACCACCAAGCCACTAGCTACTATTGACTACTCTCTGGGGGAAAAATGAACTTGAAATCCCTGACCTTACTCCTTACTGCCGCTGCAGTCCCTCAGGTTGTAGTTGCGGGTCCGTGTCTCTATGCCATTTGTCAGGCAGGTAAGGTCCAATCACATCATTGACGTGCACCGCTGACTCAACTTCTTGAACAGGATGCATTGGCTTGGTTGTCACTTGCTATGCCGGCGCCGGGTTCACGCTCGTAGTCGCACCCCCTTTAGCAGGTCCTGCGGTGATAGCATGCAATGTGGCCTTTGGGGGTTGCACGTTGGCTTGTGCTGCACTTGTGTTTGCACCCACTCCATGAATGAGTGCAATCATGAATGTGGCAGCGAGAACCCACAGGTCTTTTCTCGTGTAACGATGACGGTGTCCTTGTTCTAGCGTGATACCACGATGCAGGTTCAATCGTGCACAGCGCCAAAAATTCGACCATAGACTCTTATGTATCTTGTTCCCACAGCTGGTTGCGCGCAATTTCGGAGAGTCCATGTCCCGTCATTTCCATTTCGCGCTAGCTACAGACTCGCTGTGTCTAGACTCTACGATTCCTTTTCTTCCACGGCATCAATATCTTGTGATTCGTATTCAAACTTGGGCAGGAAATTACGAATGGACATGTGTTTGTCTGGCAAAGGCTTGGATCGCTCATGATAGGCGGCTTTTCTCATTTCCAATGGCATGCCAGGAAATGAGTATGCCTACAGCACTAGTTGGGGAGTACATCGCTACCGTAAGCCTTTTCGGGTTTATTGAACGAATGTAACAATTCTTGGTATCACGCCGCATGTTACACGCGAGGCGATATTTTGGAACGGAGTTACGATCTCTTTCCACCCACCCATATAACAATTGCCAGTGAGTAAACGCACTCGGTAACATATAAGTCCACCAGTTACCAATCACCATCTCATTTAGCTATTGACCACTCTCTGGGGAAAAATGAACTGGAAACACATTGCCGTATGCCTCACTATCGCTGTAGTCCTTTGCGTTGCAGTTGCGACGGTTCCGCCCACAGGTAAGGTCTATCACATCATGAACGTGCACCACCGACTCAACATCTTGAACAGGATTCATTTTCTACACCAGCATGAGTGCAGCCAGTATCACAGCTAAAACGCTTCTTGGCTTCTTACCAAGTGGCACCCCGGCAAGGACCCCGAAAACCAGCCATCAACATCGCGTCCAACGACGCTAAGGACGCCCAACGGCGCCCAAAGAACCCCTTCAACCCCCTCAACACCAACACCAACCCACCTTAGACCATGGCCCCCAACGAGGCCATGAACCCAACTCCTCCCCCAGCCTCCGCCCCCACGACACGTGGTGCCCGCCTCAGAACAACGGCAAAGGCACTATTCGTACCAAGCAAATCAATAGAAGAGCACCTAGCAGGAACCGGCATACGCACAGACATCGTCACACTAGCATCAGCAAGGAAACAACTCAGCACGAACGGCATGACCATATCAACCGCCGGCGGCACCGTCAAGCATCTAATAGGCGCCATATTTGAACTGAGCCTAACGCCCGCCCTTGGAGCAACGCATTCCGAATCCTTAAGAGCCATCGCAATCATACTGAACGAAGTTGAACAGACCATCGACACCAATAACATAATAGACAAACTATCCGCGCTCCTAGGAGGCCCAGTCGCAACTTTGGACGAAAAAGTAGACACCCTCGCGACCCTAGCAGACACACACGCAGCCGCACTGGAAGAAGCGGCGACAAAGGTAAGCAAACAGTTAGAAGAATCAATTTTAGGACTCGGAGAGGTGGTCGGAAGCTCCTTCCAACCAACCAACATCCACAAACCGCAGAACACCCATGGCAACAGCGGGTCTGACGGACCACGCTCATACGCTGCCGCAGCCAAGAAAGGCGTCCCTGCCCCACTAACGAAACTTTTATCCCGTAGCGAAGCACAATCCCGGCAAATCCTCATCGACAGAAGGTCCTTCCAGGCAACCAACGAACTCAAAGACCTTACAGAAGTCCAACTGGTCGCCAAAGCAGAGCTTGCACTGGAGCTCATGTCAAAAGCAGGAACCAAACTCCCCGAGAACACGTCGGTACTCTCCGCAAGAAAACTACCACACGGAGGCATCCTGTATGAACTCAATGCCCCAGGATCAGCCGAATGGATCAGTATCCCAGCGAACAGAAGCAACTTCCTCAACCACTTCGGTACCGACATTGTCATCAAAGACCGTGCATTCCACCTCCTCCTAGAGAACGTCCCCATCTCATTCGATCCCAACTCACAAATCACCCTAGCGGAAGTGGAACGGAAAGGTGGCCTGAGTCAGGACGACATAGTCAAAGCCCGCTACATAAAGCCCATAACAAGACGTAACCCCAGACAGAGAACCGCTCACGTCGCATTGACCCTGAAGTCCAAAACGTCGGCCAACCAGATCATCCGTTTCGGCATATCGATTGAGGGGAAGAAAGTATATGGCCGCAAACTACTCCCAGAACCCTCAAGATGCCTCAAATGCCAAGCGTTCGACAGCGGCCACATCGCAGCAAACTGCCCTCAAGAACACGACACGTGTGGCACCTGTGGAGCTGACCACCGCACAGCCAGCTGCGCCGTAGACATCCAGGACCTGTATCACTGCGCGAACTGCGAAACAGACGGCCACGCATCATGGAGCCGCGACTGCCCGGTGTTCATCGCCAAAGGGCAAAGACGTAGATCAAAGAACGAGGAGGCCAGATACAAATACTTCCCTACAGAAGATCCTCTCACATGGGACACTATCGAAGGTGAGTCCAGCAACCACGACACTGATTTCTCTCCCCCACAGTACCTACATCAAGAAATCAACACTGAATGGAAGACCGTCCACCACCGCCGACACCCAATCCAAAACTACGACCAGCAAGAGCCCGCCCCCCGGCCCCCAACAGGAACGCAAACGAGACTCACTGATAGATGGCCGAACCACCAAACAAGAACCCATCCCAACCCTCAGACCGCAACCTCGCCCAGAATTCAACAAGCCTCCCAAAGGTGGTCATCCCCCCCATCATCCATCACCTCAACCCCAGACTACCACACCGCGATGCTATCGGACAGCAATGAAAACCTCCCAGGATGGAACTAATGATGGACGAAACCCACCATACCAGCGCCAGAGACGACTTCAAAATCTGGCAACAGAACCTTAGAAAATCGCTCAATGCCTGGGAACATCTGTTACATAGTCTCAATCCAGACGAGTATGACCTAGCCTGCATCCAAGAACCCTACCTCAACGCCGTCAATCTTGCCAATGCCTCAACTCTGGGCCGTTTCTGGGACGTCATATACCCCTCGAACCACCACTCCAATGCCGAACGCTCCCAGACGATAATGCTTGTAAATAAATGGATATCCAAAAACAACTGGCACATAATACCCATCAACTCTCTGAATGTCATGGCCATAGAACTCACAGGACAATTCGGCAAAGTACGTATATACAATATCTATAACCCGGGTGACAGCGATCACACCTTACATTTCCTGGAACGGCACATGCACACTGAACATATCAAGCGGCGCCAACACTACGAAAGGATCGCTCAAGGCGAACGTAACCAGGAAGAACATATTATTTGGATGGGCGACTTCAATCGCCACCACCCCATGTGGGAACTTGAACATAACACGCACTTATTTACTGCAGCGAATCTAGACGCTGCAGGTGTACTAATCAACCTCTTATCACTGTACAACTTAACGCAGGCACTCCCAGCCGGACTCGCAACCCTTGAAGCATCCAATACAAAAAACCACACCAGACCAGACAATGTCTTCTGCTCGGAGAGCCTCGAACACGCCTTCACGCAATGCGATGTAAAGTACCATCTGCGCCCTGTTATTACTGACCACTTCCCAATCATCAGCACCCTGGACCTCAACCCCGAACGCATCAATGTCACCCCACGCCTCAACTACCGCAACGTAGACTGGGACGAGTTCAACGAAGCGTTGGCCAACAAGCTCGACACGATCACCAAACCTACTGAACTAACCGAACCGGCACAATTCGACATTGCCCTCATGGCGCTCACACAAGCAATCGCAGACACCGTCGAAGAAAAAGTCCCCCGAATCAAACCATCACCTTACGCCAAACGATGGTGGTCCAAGGAACTAGGACAGGAACGGAAAGCAGTACATAAGCTAGGTAGGACAGCCCGAAGCAAGACCGCCCAACGCAACCATCCAGTACACGAGGAATACCGAGTGGCACGCAACAAGTTCTCAGAAAGCATCAAGAGGGCTAAGGAAGCCCACTGGACAGAATGGCTAGACTCACTAACGTCCAAAGGTGTCTGGAACTTCCACAGATACGCCTCAAGTAACCTGGCAGACCAAATACACTTGCGCATCAAGACCCTCAAGGACCCACAAGACGAACAGGCCGCCAACTCGACTCAAGACAACGCCCGCAAAAGCGAATTGCTATACGAGACCTTCTTCCGCCCCCCGCCAGAGAACGACTTCGTCAACCCTAACTATGATTATCCTCCTCCCATTTGCAAATTCCAACTAATTACGGACCAACAGATAATCAGAGCAATAGCCAGACTCTCACCGCACAAAGCCCCAGGCCCAAACGGTATAAGCAACATCATCTTCATGAAGAGCGCCTCCCTCCTCGTCCCATTCCTAGGCCCAATATTCCGCGCTACGTTCACGCTAGGGATCTACCCTGAACAATGGAAGAGATCTTCGACAATAGTACTCAGGAAGCCAGGTCGACCGGATTATAGTCTACCGAAGGCATACAGGCCCATCACCCTCTTAGACACTATGGCTAAGCTCCTGTCCTCTTGTGTAGCGGACGACCTGACATATATCGCAGAACAGCACAACCTCCTCCCCCCAACACACTTCGGCGGAAGACCAGGAAGATCCACGACGGACTCGCTACACCTACTAACTAAGTTCATTACAGACGCATGGGCCTCCTCTGAGCGCTTCGTTTCCATCCTCTTCCTCGACGTGAAAGCCGCATTCCCCAGCGTAGTAGTCAAACGTCTAATGCACAACCTCCGCAAGGCCCGAATCCCGATAGAGTACATCAAATGGTACGAGAGAAGACTAGTGAACAGGACCACCACACTATCCTTCGATGACTTCCAATCAACCATCTTCAACGTCCATGACGGCCTCGACCAAGGATGCCCTCTCTCTCCCTTAGCGTTCATATTCTACAATGCTGACGTCCTACGAATCGCAGACCCTAGGCCAAGCAAAGGGGAACTAAGTTTAGGCTTCATCGACGATGTAGCAATAGCTGCCAGGGCCAGAACTTACGATTTAGCGAACGACAAGCTCAAGAACATGATGGAAAAACCCGGGGGAGCGTTAGAGTGGAGCCGCAAACACAATGCAGAGTTCGAGCTCGACAAAACGGCGTTAGTGTGCCTCTCAAGACAACGCACACCAAGCACAGAAAATCCAAGGAAGAAGGTCCCCGTACACCGACCACCCATCACGCTAAGTGGACACGTCATACAACCCTCAAGCTCACATAAATTCTTAGGTGTCATTATCGACCAAGAACTTCGTTTCAAGGAACAAGCCGCAAGTGCCTTAGCCAAAGGCACAAAGTACACGCTAGCGTGCAGCCGAATGATCAGAACCACGAAGGGAATCAAAGGGAAATGGATGAGACGCTTATACGAAGGGGTAATCCTGCCGAAAATGTTGTACGCGGCTGATGTTTGGTGCGCAGGCCTAATATCCAAGGGAAGGAGCACAAAATCCAATGGAAGAGGCGCGAGAAGCTTTGCATCGCAACTCGCCAGAGTACAGAGAATGGTGGCGATCATGATCACAGGCGCCATGCGCTCAACGCCAAATGACCTTCTCCTTGCACACGCTAACCTCCCCCCACTGCAGCAGACCCTCCGCAAAGCATGCCATCATTCTACCCTCCGCATGGCCACCCTTCACAAATCCCACCCCCTCCAGAAAGGTATCAACAGCGCGTTCAATTATCACGCCAGCCGCAACTTCGAAGGCACAAAACGACACCCTTCCCCACTACACAGATTGTTCCACGAATTCAAAATCAACCCCGCAGCCACGGAAACCTTGGATCCAGTCTGACACTACCCGAAATGGGTCCCAGACGTCGAACTCAGCATAGCACGCAAGCCGGACGAAGCATACCTGGAGGATATCACCGCAGAGGAGGACGTGAGAGTGTACTCAGACGGGTCGGCGATAGATGGAGGCATAGGAGGGGCCGCGGTTCTCATGGAAGGAGACGAGGTGGTAGACGAAAGAAGGTTTTATCTGGGGAAGGCCGAAGAGCACACGGTATACGAAGGGGAGATAGTGGGCATGATCCTGGCGGTGGAGCTGCTGAAAGAGAGGACAAAGAGGATGAGAGAGAAACCCACCATGGCACTTGGGGTGGATAACCAAGCCGCGATCCGCGCAACGAAGGGTTTCCAGTCGAAACCCGGCCATTACTTGCTAGATATCTTCCACGATGACCTCCGCCGTATGCTGTCAAGAAAAGACGACCGCAAGCTGACCATCCGTTGGTCAGCTGGCCACATAGGGATCCCCGGTAACGAAGAAGCAGATGAACAGGCAAAACGCGCCGCCCGCGGCGAAAGCTCAGAACACTGCAAGCTCCCCCCATCCCTCCGCAACGCAAATGGAAACCCCATCTCCCTACCAAGCAGCAAGTCGGCACTAAAGCAAGCGTTCCGGACAACCATCATGCAAGAAGCGAAATCAATCCTCCACCAGTCACCGAGACACGCAAGACTCAAAGAGATAGACCCCTCGTTCCCATCCAAAAGATTCGCAATGTTGACCGACAACCTCCCAAGACGTCACGCATCACTCTTGATCCAGCTACGGACAGGACACATACCATTGAACAAACACCTACATCGCATCTCGAAATCCCCATCACCTCTATGCCCGTCTTGCCGAGAGCGCGAAGAGTCAGTCCACCACTACCTGCTTGCATGTCCGACGTACGCAAGACAGAGAAGCGCATTGAAAGCGGAACTCGGTTCCAAAGCACATCAACTGAAACACCTGCTAAACGACGCCAAATGTACAAAACCCCTCTTCAAATTCATTGCTAGCACTCGCCGTTTCGCCAGCACATTCGGGGACGTCTCCCTCCCGAAATAAGTCCATTCGTAACAGCCGCACACACCCTCTCCACGCCCGACCAGGCGCCTATCGTCCTCGCGCATGCCTGGACCAGTATTTTAGTAACATATAGAAACCCCGCACATACAATACATTAGACAAAAGTACATACTCTGTAGGTATTGTCCAGCATAGGGCCCAGCCCCACCGGACAATAAACAAGGATTCCAAAAAAAAAAAAAAAAAAAAAAGTATCACAGCTGGGGCTGTCCATGTATCATGTCCTGCCATTGCTGTATGCCTTGCCGCGTGTTGAGAACGGCATCCTTGTTGTTGTAGCACATATGACAGCACAACACATGTTTAGGGTGGTGACAGCACCGGAAATACAAGCATGGACTTTTATGTATATCGTTCTCTGACTTCCCTCTTCTCAGTCGTTGCATGTAGTCGAGAGTCTATGCATTATGCGTTATGTCCCGCTGTTGCTGTTTTGCGCTAGCTACAAATTCACTGTATGACACTTTTCAAAAACGAACTTTAATAATTGTGCGATACACAGCAACAGCCCTAGTGCACGACACAGCATATCAAAATGCGCAGCACAGCCCACAGGTGTCGTTCTATGTAAAACCAGGGCACGAGAGATTAAACTGCAAGATTCACGCCACTGATTAAATTATCCTGAGACAGAGGATTAACACGATGAGGGACAGATGGACTATCACTAGGATCGCGGATACCATGCAAAGATTAGGGGCATGACGACATGATGAAGAACACAGAAGCAACTCAGCGATAGTAATGGATGGGTCTGGCCAGGTTCTCCCAACAAGCGGAATCGTGGGCCGAACCAGCAGTTCAGTCTGATAATGGTCCTTAAGCGGCTTTCCTCATTTCCAATGACCAGTTAGGAAGTACATCGCTACCGTACTAGACCTATATTGAATGAATTAGTATCACAATGCATGTTACATGCGAGGCGATATTTTGGGACGGAGCTACGATCTCTTGCCACCCACCAATATAACAATTGAGTATACGCACTCGGTAAGTCCACCAGTTACAATCACCATCCCATTTGGTTAAGTCACTACTATGGACCGCTCTCTAATAAACCTGAAAAATGCTGTCCCACTCCTCGCTGTCGCGGCGGAATCCAATATCCCACAGCTCATCGCTGCCGCAGTGGAATCCAATGTCCCACTCCTTGCTGCCGCCGCAGGTGTAATAATATCCATTGTAGTTGTATGTGGCATTGTCTATGTTGTTTATAAGACAGGTGAGGTCTAGCACATCATGAATGTGCACCACTGACTCGACTTCTTGAACAGGATGCTCTTTCTACGCCAGATTGAGTGCAACCAGTCTCGAATTGTGGCCCACCCGTGTATTAGGACCTTCCATAGAACTTTACCTTGGGCGTCGTTGTACTAGTAGGGAGTGCAGTGAGGGGTTAACCGGCAGGAGCAGAAGTCAGGACAGGTAGAGCAGGTGCCGGGGGTCTCGGGTGTTCGGGTTCGAGAGCAGCATTGTAGTTAGTACGAGCGTGGGTCAGACACAGCAAGCATCTTGCACAACACAACATATCAAAACGTGCAACACAGCCCATAATTGTCGTGTTCTAGAACCTGATAGCAGTAGGGGCACGAGAGATTGTACAGCAAGATTCACGTCACCGATAAGATTATCCTGAGATAGAGGATTAATACGATGAGGGACAGATGGACTTTCAGGGTCGCGGATACCGCGCAAAATGATATCGGATGGTTGGGGCTCTACGAAGTCGGGTGGCATGGCGACATGCAGAAGAACACGGAAGCAACTCAGCGGTTGTGATGGACGGGTCTGGCCAGGTTCTCCCAACAAGCAGAACTATAGACCGAACCATCAGTTCAGTCTGATAATGTTCTTAAACTGGATAAAAAAGACAAAGAAATTGATCGACGCAACTAGACACAGGCGACCTTCCAATTGAGAACATAGTAGACAGGAGGTAGACTCGACGATGGCGCAGTCACAGCTTTTGAAAGTGGAATGGGTAATTTCGGGCTGTGGTGAGTAAACTTCTGAGCTACTCGCGTTAGAAATGAAAGAATTCAATTCATCGCACTGTAGACGACGTACGTAGTAGGAGCTCTCGTTGTCGAGTGTGTGTGGCGATTATCTTATCGATCACTTGATCTGTTCCATGATGGGCACAGTTTGATAGTCATGAGTAAAAACTCCGGGAAGGAGGAAGGAAGACGTTAATTAGGTCCTTCTTGTGGAGTTCTGGACTTCGCGAGCGCGGAGCGCCGACATCATTATCATCGCGGCTCACGTTTTTTAAAGTCAGAAATAAATCAATTGGTCAATATTTGGTGCTTACCTTATCACCACCGGTAGGAACTTCTGAACAGCTCCACGACTGCTTGCGCGACACATTACAATCGACATACAGCAGCTTAGCAGTGCCATTGAAAGTTAGAAATGAAATACTAGTAGTGAACCTTATTTTGTGAGTCACACCACCATGTGTATCACCTTGCAATTGCTTGGTGACCCCCACAAACGCAAAACAGGTTCACTTTGCTTAGCCGCATGTTAATTACACGGGAGGCGACATAGTTATATTTTGGAATGGAGCTACAATCTCTTGTCATCCATCCATATAACAGTTGAGTAAACGCACTCGCTAAGTCACCCAGCTCCTCTGTTGCTAATCCGCATTTCACTCAGTCAAGCCACTACTATTGACCACTCTATGACTAAACGTAGTTACCTATATGGACTCGTTCAAATCTGGTCATGTCAACGAAAGTAGCATTGACCAGTCGTATGTGTTTGGGTCGTAGGGCTTAAGGCCTAGACTGCAAGAATCGCACTCTCCCAGTACATGTATCCCACATAGTTAAACCTTCGTTTGTTTAAGGCTGGTCATGAGTCCGTTAAACGGCTATCGCAGCCTGCCCTAATCGCAGGGCACGGACCATTTACTCCAGTCAAAATAGCTTAAAAAGGAAGAGGACCTACGTAGAACTAGAAGTACGAGCGGTCGGGGCAGCGTTCAAGCCCCCTGACGAGATCTTTCGCAGGATCGAAACCGCTGCCCTCCGCTCTACTAGCCCCTCCCTCCCGTTGTAGCAGCGCCCTATCTTAGGAGAAGGCGGACTGCAGCACGCGTGCATAGGGGTGGTCTGCCTAGTACACTACTAGTCGTAGACTAAAATCTATTGCCCACCTTGCGGCAGAGGCCTCGTTCCTCGGCCCCCTTCTCAGGGGGCCTAGATTGGCATCTCTGGGCTTACAATGAACTTCAAATCTCTTGCCTTGCTCCTCACTGCCGCTGCAGTCCCTCAGGTCGTAGTCGCAGGTCCGCTTGCCTACGGCATTTGTCAGACAGGTGAGGTCCAATAACATCATTAACGTGCACCGCTGACTCAACTTCTTCAACAGGATGCAATGGCCTGGCTGTCGCTTGCTACGCTGGTGCCGGTTTCACATTTGGAGTCGCACTCCCTGCAGTACCTCCTGTGTTGATGGCATGCAATGTGGGCCTTGGGGGGTGTATGGCAGCTTGTGCCGCAATTGCGCTTGCACCCACTCTCTGAGTGAGTGCAATCGTGAATCTGGCGGCGAGAACCCATAGCCCCCCCTTGCGTGATGAGAACAGCATCCTTGTTGTAGCATGCCAATGCAACGCAGGTTTAGCGGTGTACAGCACCAAATATATAACCATGGACTATTATGTATCTTGTTCTCGTTTTAAGTCGACTTTCCTTTTCTCACAGTCGGTTGTACGTGTTTGAGAGTTTATGTCCCGTCGTTTCTATCTCGCGTTAGCTGCGGACTCACTGGCTAGACTTTTCTTCTTCTCATGGTTACTGCTACCTTTTTGATTCGTGTTCAAACTTTGGCAGATAATTACAGATGCTCATGCGGTTGTTTGGCAATGGCTTTGGATCTAGACATGCTCATAATCGACGGCTTTCTTCGTTTCTAAGCCTGTCATTGAATGTTGACCATTGTGAGTGGACTTTGAGCGCAATTCACAGTATCAGACAGCTCAAGACGATAAGTGAGCAACGTGCGTCCTCGACCACCGCATGGATAATAACCTGTGTGGGAATTGGGCGCGTACCATCGTGCAAAACCCATCCGAGTCAATCAACCATCATGCGGTTCCGAGGAATACTTTTTCTCTCCTCAGATCAGCAGACCGTGACTGGGCGCTTGTCTGCTGATAAAGGCTCCTCGCAACCTCTCTTTTAGAAAAAGCGCTCTTAGATCCAACCGCCCCTTCTGGTATGATTTTGCCTGTTGCTGTTCTTCTGGGTCTTGCGCTCCGCGGTGCTGCTTGCGCGGGCGATCACTTGCATACTCGTGACGCCCATGTTCATGAACATTTGAACAAGCGTGAATACCCACAGGTTCCAATCACACCTCCCTACCGTCCTCTCGTCTGGGGAGATTTCAATGTGATCCACACCACCGACACCCATGGCTGGTTACTCGGCCACCAGAAGCTGTCATTCCCTGAACCAGACTATAGGTGAGTTTCAAAGGACCTCATTTGGGGCGTAGCTCAACCACATCATTCTGCGCGTATTATAGTGGGGATCTTGAAGATTTTGCCAGTTTTGTAACGCATATGAAGAATATCGCCATCGTTCGTCCATCAGTCTAGATCTTGACTTTGTTGTATATATTTCCTATTGCAGGAAAAGGACGTCGACCTCCTTTTGGTAGACTCGGGGGATCTACATGACGGTATGGATCGATTTGGTATTTGCGAAGACACAATCCAATCTACTTCTCAGGAACTGGGCTTTCTGATGGTTACCCCCCCGGCGGTGTCGACGCGCACGAGGTCTGTTGTTCTATTGCTGATACATATCTCGAAATTGATACCCTATATGTGTATTCAAAAGTCAAACAAGTTTCTTGAACGCCTTCCATACGATGTCATGACTATCGGAAAGTGAGTATTGAGTTTTCGCTTCTCCCCTATCCGCCTAGGTTGGACTGACAATTTTATCTCCATAGTCATGAACTGTACATCTATGCGGATACATACGACATGTGGGTTCTGAATATTCTGAGTAAAATTCGGTTTGACTGACAATATCTTCTTCTGCATCGATTTTGGTTTCCTTTGCGATGTCTATATTTTGTTCAATCACCACCTTCTATTCGACACTGCACAAACATGGCCTATACTTACAAAATGGACCAACCTTCCCTCAGGTACACGAACTTTGTCCCTCATCTTGGTGGGCGGTACTTGTCTTCCAATGTCAACATCACTGTTTTCAATTCGGATGGCGAGCCTGAGAGTGTTCCAGTCGGCAGTAAGTTCGAATTTTGAAGTTAGTTTGATTACTGTCGATGTCCCCTCTGCAGACCGCTTCACCAGGTTCACCACAAGGAAGTAAGGGTTCCTGTGAATTCAGGGTGGGACTTTATTCATTCAATGTAACAGAGGCCGTCGCATCACTTCTCTTGGAGTCCTGTATGATTTTACTGGAAATGACGTGAACACGACTGTACAAACTGTGGCCGATATGGTCAATGAGCAATGGGTACGTTATCTTAGGCGTCTAGGTGATCCAGAAGAGATTCTGATCGATCTTTGCAGTTCGCCGAGGCCATCGCGGAAGAACCTGACGTGTTTGTACTTATTGGGTAAGTTGATCTGATGGTTTCTGAGAAAATATTTTTAACGCATTTCAGCCACATGCCAGTTTCCTTTGATAACTGTAGGCCAGCCAACTACAGCAATTGTAAGGTTTGATGATACGATGAATTGGTTTTCTAGGGCCTACTGTGTTTGACGCTGTTCGAGCTGTGCACCCTTTGACGCCCATCTTAATCTTCGGAGGTGGAGGCCACGCATTTAATGTTTTCAACTAACTTTCTCACCGCGGACTTAGGACATAGCCACATCCGTGATTGTCAACAGTATGATAGTCGTTCTATGGCTCTCGAGAGTGGACGCTACATGGAGACAATCGGTATGTGAGCATCAAAGATGAGTTGAGTACAGCGTCTCACGTGTTCTTTTAGGCTGGATGAGTACATTGTTTAACGATAACAATATTTCAAAGATCTGACCAGGAACTTAGGTGCGGACCTTGAAGCTGCCACGGGCAACGCCAACAATATTTCTTTCACAAGAAGATATCTGGACCAGAACCGTGTGACTTACGAGGTACAGTGTGCTATCAGTTTCTCGATGATGTTCTAAATCGCGTGTCACAATCAGTACCACGCCCAAATGTCAAACCAAACATTTGACACTGCCTACGGGCGCTCGATCACCGATGGCCTGCAGGAGCTCGCGGTCAGCTTTGATTTATCCTATCTGTATGGAACATCTCCACAAGATTATACCATCAACCAGTGGGTACTCCGTATATATCGCATAAGCCACCAACTAAATCGTATGCTAGGAACCCATATCCTTCCAATGGATCCCTTCTATCTCTTTTTATTGCGGATGTAAGACCTGTTTTCCCAGAAACGTTAATTACTTACGCTTTTATCAGGCTGTTCCATACGCTCTCTCCATTAACAACACGCGTGATTCCATCCCAGCCATATATATCACCAACTCAGGATCTCAACGCTTCAACGTCTTCCAGGGACCATTCACCAAGAACGATCAGCTCACCGCCTCGCCATTCACGGATTCATTCCTGTATATCTCCAACGTCTCATTTAGCATCGCAAACCAGGTCCTTCCAGCTTTGAACAACGCGGGTGCAGATGAGAAACGGAAGCGAGATGAGATTGAAAAGGAACTTTGGAGCCGTGGGGTTGTTGATACTCGGTATAAAGCCTGGTTAGAGGAGATGGATCGACGTGCTGGAATTGGTAGACGAGAAGCAACGGCAGGCAATTTGACGCTTGGATATGTCACTGCTGATGTAAGTGGCCCATCTTCGCACTCGCTCCGACACACTCATAATAGTGACTTAGTCATGCCCCGGTGCTGGGGACGACACGCTGCACTTGGCGTTACCCTACTATTCGGTTCCAGACTTTATCGGCTCGAATCCTCCTAACGTGGCCGACGACACGCCTATTGATCTTGTCTTCGTCGACTTCATTGAAGCACAACTCCTTGGCATTCTCAATGGCTTGCAGAATGCGCAGAACTACACTACCGCTGATGTTTCGCTGTACAGCCCAACGCTGGCTAACGCAGCGCTGGGCCTGTATGCTCAAGGTGTGTGGAATTGACTGAACGGCCAGTAGTATGCCTATGCTGTGATCGTATTTACCTCTTCTCCACAATCACCTGGCATCTTGTTATCTACAAGAGTACATTCTGAGTCAATGACACGTGGGTTGTACCCCGAAGCCTTGCATATTTCATGCCAACTCCCAGCATTCAGTACTTGATTATTGCATTCCATCGTTCATCTATCTGTACTGACTCAGAGTATCGTAAGGAAGCCTGGTCCTTTAAGCACGGTCCTAACGTCAACCAGTTACATACGTCGTGCGTGAAGAGGCTTCCCAGATGAAGCTTATTATGTGCCATCAAATGATTCTGCAGCATGCGTCTGAACTCCTGTTCCAGGATTCTCATCCTAATCCAAGAGCGCATGGCGGGACCGTTGGCATCATACCATCCTATCCCATGTCATTCGGAGCAACGTGGAAGGTCCAAAATATAAGGACCGAGCTGATGAATATGGATCTGTATCAATTGAATGCGGGCTCAGAAGATCATGAACATAAGACTCCTTGTAGTACCTGTTTACAAACTATAGACCGGGACAAATGCTGGAAAGAACTTGAAGACGATCAAAGAGAGGATTACTTACAAAAAGCTATGCCCAAACTCACAGGGAAAGAATGTGAGATTATCTCTCATGTGACCTCCGTCGTTAATCCAGCGCTGAGGGTTGGATATTGAATGCGCCAGGATCAGAATAGGCATTGGGTCTCGAGAGAAGGCCCTAGCATAATGGCCGCATTAGATCTTTCGCAAATTGAAAGACGGTTCTGTGCATCGAGCAGAACGTCAGAGATTTGGCCGGTCTGAGACAACCGGGACACGACGGTAGCGAACGGCACCCCCAGCAGAGTTTAAACTCTTTGAACGACCAATGCCAATGCGCCTAGCTACATCCCGTTGGAATACTGCATGACCTCAACTCTGCCCGCTGCTCATTTTATTTTGCGCCCGCCAGCCCTCCGTTCTTTGTCCGCCTACCATTTCAGAGATGCCCTCGCATCGGGCTGCTTGAGGTATATCTAGAACTTCTGCTTCCAGTTGAAAATGAATGCAATGTTGATGACCAAGACAAGAACTGGGGCGCGTTAATGCATGCTCCAGCGAGATTTTCCACCAAGATACCTGTGCAGGTTCTGGTACAAAGTACGGATTTGCTCGTATATTAGAGTCTAGACTCCTTGACCAACGTTGTGATGAGGACATCCAGGAAACGGCCAGTCTGGGGCCAAAGTCTGGGGCTGCGGCTGTCACAAAGCAAACACGTGACCAAAAACAATTCAAACTCAGCTCGGGTCAGTCCAGCCGCGGCCCCCAGACATTGCTGAACGCCCCAGACTCCGCCCCAGACTTTGGCCCCAGACTGGCCAGATCCCTGACATTCACGCGAAAGCGCGGAATTTGAAAAATCTGGTCATACTGATATTATGGAAATCCAGCGTCAATCCAGCGTGCTCTACTTCCAATGCTAGTAATTGGGAAGTTTGGGAAACTGCTTAATTTTTCCAACAGCACTATGTATGTCGAATACTTCTCGATCACACGCTTCTTGCCTTGAAGTCACTGAAACCTCATCTGCCATGCTGGCAGGACGACCTTTTTTTTTTTTTTTGATTCCAATTTTTGTCCGATTGGGGTGTAATACCCCATGCAGGACAATTCTAACTAGGAAAGGGGGACACCTGTGTCCCCACCGTGTCTCCGACTCTGCAAATGCCCCAGTGAAGGTGTGACCTCCACTGGTCCGCCGTCCCTGCCGGCCGTTTTAGATGCACGAGTCTACTACTCCACGGGGCCGTTTCTGGTACGTCTCGTTTGTATGTGGGCCTGGCGTGTGGTAATGGATATACAAATACTCGGACCGCCGAAGCGATCGTTGCACGAGGGGAGTGAATGGAGCGCGGATAGAAAGGTAAGTCTGGGTTGGCACGACGTGCTGCTGAAGGACCACCAAATAGTTCTGCCAGGCTTGGGCGCGATGACTCGGATGTCCTAATCCTATCATCCAAGTTTTAGTCACTCCTGTGTAAGAATATAAAGGCTTGCGAATTGTTTGCTCAGCCTTTGTCACTCTTCCGCAAGCTCCCTACAAATACTATGGCGATGGCCAACAAGGCAAAACTTGAGGCACTCCTGACTCTGATCAACACATCCGCACGAGATGCCATCGCGTTGTATGAGCAGTATGGTGACGTACCTGCGATCGACCAGATGGAGCCCCACCCGTTGGACAATGCGGTCGATCAAACAGCTTTGAAGAGTGCTATTCGTACTCTTGAAGGTGCTTGTGCACAGATATGCGCGACACTTGCTCCACCTTCCCATACTGCAATTAACGTAAGAACTTGGATGATGTAATGCAGTTTCCTCTCACTCATCAGATTGCACGCAGCTTGTCCAAGTGTATGATCATGCTTGCGTGCGAGTAGTTGCTCGGGAACGTGTCTCGGATATTCTGTTGAAGTACCCCAAGGGTCTTCACGTCAACGAGCTCGCCAAAAAAATCAACGTAGAGCCAAAGAAGCTGGCGAGGATCATGCGCCTCCTAGCCACGAGAGGTTGCTACAATGAAGGTAAGGAGCCATTTTTTGCCTGGTTTGATTTCTTAGACTCCACCAGTTGAGATGGACGTTTTTGCCAACAACCGACTGTCTCTGATCCTACTCGACGAGCATCCTGTCAAATACATGATCTTGCTTCACGTGGAATCAACTGCCAAGGGAGCAACTGTTTTCTATGAAACACTCAAGGATCCGAGGATTGCCTACTCGTATGAGCAAACGGCTGCACCTGTAATGTATGCCATCAACAAAGATGGAACCGAAGGAACGGCCTTCGACTTGATAGCACGGGATGTATGTTTTAAAATATTGCGCGTCAGAAAGCCTCACTCACATGATTTACTTGTAGGACAACCAACGCAAGGTGGGAGTTTTGATCCCTTCGCACGATCATTCTGATATCTTTAGTAGTGCTATAATACAGCAATGAGAGGTCTGAACCGTATCATGGGCTCCCTCGCCGTCTTGACCCGTAAGTATTTCAGCACACAAAGACAGGAGAATTTTATGCTAACCTGATAATAGATTTCCCATTCGAAAAGTACTCAACAGTCGTTGATGTTGGAGGAGGTATCGGCGCATTTTCTCTGCCTTTGGCTAAAATGCACAAAAACGTCAAAATCACAATCCACGATCTTCCGGAACCATTAGCCCAGGCGAGAGACGTAAGTCAGTAAGCCAATGTGCTTGTCACCAAATTCATGGAATCTAGATCTGGGTGAGAGAATGCCCTGAAGCCTTGGCAGAAAACAGAGTCGAGTTCGACGATTTGAACTTCTTCGAACAAGTGCCTGTGAAGGGTAAGGACATCTACTATGTAAGCGCTAAGCTCTGGGCGACAACCTGCAAAGTTAACAGTGACCGCAGCTTAGAAATATCATCCACAACTGGGATGACCACGAATCTACGATCATTCTTTCAAACATTCGCAAGGCGCTCGGTCCAAACAGCCGCGTCCTCATCCGTATGTTAAATATAGCGTAATCATCGTCCTCCAGTCTGACAAATATTAGATGACTACGTGCTCTGCCAGCTCAGCCGCAAGCAAGCAGTAATAGAAGCTTCAGAGTTCGGAGTTGTTTCGGTATGTTATACCCATAGATCTACATCAATCTTTGCTCATCCCCTCACCTAGGCTCCTGAACCTCTTCTCGCAAACTTTGGTGTTGGAAATATGCGTTCATATCAGCAAGACATGACTATGTTGTTCGTATACAACGCAAAGGAGCGAACATTGCAAGACTTCCTCGCACTCGCGTGAGTAACGTTCGATTGCTGCCTTGGTTTCACCTGATTGGTTTGGAATAGCACTGCTGCCCGTCTGAAACTGGAGAAAGTTTGGGACCTTGCCGAATCATGCGTCTTGGAGTATTCTGCCGCATAATGTTTTGTGAGCTAATTAATGTGTTCATCCACATCATTCCATCCCCTTTTTCTACGTCGCTTAGTTATCAGTTGGCAGTTTTGATTTCTTGTGTCATGGCTACTAGTTCTTGTCGTCTCATTCTGTTGGTGATACTTTAGCTCGTCCTGTCGCTCTGGTGGTTTCGGATCAAGAACTTCCTGATGATAGAAGCTCCGTTGTGTCGACGTGCAATTTACGCCAGTATTTTGGGTATTTTGCGGTTACTCGAGGTCACGCCGAGCAAGGCAAAGTGGTGAATTGAGCATAGCTAAGCACTGAGTACTGAGTGGCTGACTAGCTAAGCCACTAGAACAGCGCGATTACCAGGCAAAGAACCACGACAAACCAGGACTCCAACTAACGATTAGAGCGACTTGGGCCGGTCGTGACGTGACGCTGACGGGCAAAATGAGCTCGGTCTATGGTTTCTCCCTCGCCTCGAGATAGTAGAATTCCATGTACGTACTACGTTTGATGATGTTGGCTCAGGCAGCAACAGTTATGTTCACCTCGAGAACTTGAAGTTTGGGAGGCTGTCTTGGATGAAGCGTAAGGCCGCTTTTTTCGTAACTTTTAAGTGAAGGGCTTGAAAATAATTTCAGTGTCAAGTACCTGTACATTGTTCCACTCGGACAATGTCGTACCGTAGGGTGTGCTGACTGGGCAGTGCGGTCTGACCCTTGCATAGTTGAAAATTCCAACCACGACACCATTCATCTATCAGGTATATCAAGTATGGATTGATATCAAGGAAACGCACTGGAACTTTGTCGAGAATATAAGTGACGACTACATAAGCATAACACTAATAGTAAATGAGGGTGTGATACATATATATAACTTGAACTGAAGAATCAAATTAGTTCATCCGGAAATGAATGGACAACACAAGTATGTATGTCAATAGATAGCAATAAGTTATGGGATGGGCTCTATCAAGAGGTTTGAGAGGAGGGGTATACGGGCCCTGGTATCCATGTGGGAATTAAAGAGAGAATGAGAAAAGATAGGCATATTAAGAAGTGATTAGTGATTAGGTAGGAAGATTATGGTAGATGATAGATAGAATGTTGGGTCTGTGCGTCCGCGACATGTCTTTTCTTGGCGGGGGGTTCACAGGTCGAAACCTTCAGCGCAATAACTCCGGTACCGTGGACAGGGGCTATTTGCACCCTTTGGCAATCTGATCTCGCGTTCGCGTGACTTCTCCTACATGCATCTTCCCGCGCATAGTCGACGTTGCAGGCGGTACATTTTATTTTGTAGCCGATATGCGTGACGAGGTGACGAGCGATACTCGTACCTTTCATAGCGGTGCGCTTTTTTGACGTACATCCATCCCAGAGACAAGTAGTATCCCCTTCACCGCCCGTGAAGCCATGAAACCTGGCGAGATGGTCTGTGACGCTGGCCTGGTCACCTTCGATATGCATACCACAGGGGGAATGATTTTTGTCCCACTGACATTCGTAAACGTACAGTAGAGGCTGTCCGCCGATCCGCACGACAGATTCGTCAACTAGGTGGTCATCGCAATCCACCTTTTTTGGCACTGATTGTCGATGACGAAATGGCTCCACGACGGCACTGACGTTAACGTGCTGTGCACGGAGATACACAGGTGGCTGGGCACCACGCGGTGCTACGACTGTACGATTAATCCTAGATTCTGAGCGGGAATCGCACGCCTGAGGCAGTGCAGTCATCGTGGTGTCCCGATCTGCAAGGTCAGAATCCGAGGACCTTCTCCTCAATCTTTTCCCCAGAACTCCGGTACGCGGGGGATCTGCTGAATAAGGGCGAGGTGGTAACTCGGTGGGCCCCTTGATGTAATGTGATGGCCGAGATAATCCAGCGGTCTCACGAAACATGTCAAGCTGCCCGAATTCTTGAGCATTTGACTGAGACGAGTGATAGACCGTCTCTTGGGCGGTGAGGGAATAAGATACGGGAGAGTAGTCGGTAAGAGGGAAAAGCACTGCGGGAAAAGGATAGGTAGGAGGATGCTGGTAGATCCAAGGGGGACGCGTGCTGTCAAGATCATCCAGAGAAAAGGGGGGCGATGTAGGATGCGTCATTTCGGTGTTATCGTCGTTGCTTAAGTAGGAATGATCGAAGGTAGTATCCAGGGATAGTGCGTCACACTGGTAGCCCTGACCTGCGGTCCTTGAGAAGCTGGCAGTCTCGATGACTTGGTCCTCGTTGCTTCATAGAGTATTAGTAAGAGCTGGAATAAATTTAGCAACGGACAACTTACGAACACTGCTCCCCAGGTGCCAGGGGCATTTCTGAGGAAGGATATGTCGAATCATATAGCAGGGGCTGATGCTTTATGACACATGCAATGGGCGGATCTTGAAAGCGGTGTTCCTGATAGACATGAGCTGATGACGTGTCGTGGATCGCGAAGCCGGGGTGGGCAGGGATGCAATTCTGAGGCATATTTCCAAATGAAGGTAGCGGAGAAATGTAATGTGCGTGTTGTGGACTTGTATCAAAGGAGTGATGTATTGGAAAACTGCGGCGCCGAGTCATCATAATTTCAATACATTGTATGATGACGACAGCTATTGTGAATGATCACCTCGTGGCATCAACGTCATCTAGATTTCGCGCTGCATCCGCCTGATTGCGTGGCGGAAAGGCTTCCTGTTCCGCAAGAGTGCGATTTCGTGGAGCGACCTTGGTCGTCGTCGATGAACGCTGCATCTGCGCACCCAGGGCATCTCTACAGTCCAAAGAACGACGTCAAATATATATCCGACAGTGACTCCTATCAACACACCTGATGGAAAATGTGGAATAATCTAGATCCATCACCGAGCTCTGAGAAAGGAAGGCGAAGAAGCAGGGAAATGAAGCTTCTATATAGCTACTCGTTCTACAACTGTGTGAACCCCATGATGAACTCCAGTTTATATCTTGCATCGTGCCTCGAACACACCCCTCGGGGAGTATGTGAAGGCTCATAAGGCCAGCCGCATGCTTCAACAGCACCGATTCAGGATCAGGCTGATGGAATAGGCGAGGCCAACGACATAAGGCGAGCGCTCCAACCACGCGGCTGATAGGTGTCGACTAGGCAGTGTTATAACCTTCTACACTGACATTAGCGCTCGAAAACACACCTAAATGACTGGCAAGCGCAGTGAACCAATACTCCGATGCACAGCATTTGCAGCGACGATAAGGGACGTTCGAACACACTCAATATTGAGTGTTGTGGTAGTTCCACTGGTATTGCGACGATACATCAGTTCTGCCATTGTGAGTATGTTCTGAAACAAAGGTAAAACAGAAAAACGTAATCTGATTGACGATGCGACGTATCGCTTGCAGATAAGCACGTGTCCTTTGAACACGTCATTTGACTGATGGGTTGTGAACATGTTTGCAGCAATGCACATCAAATATTGCGAGGCGGCCGAAGTTAGAATATGAGTCGCGCCCGTGGCTATAAGCACACATATTCGGATACATGCGAAACGGTTTTGGTAATAGGTGCATCAATTTCAGCGGAATCCCGCACCACGATGCAGGACGGGTCACTGGTAGACCAAGACGTGTTTTTCATTTCGCATAACCAAAGTGTGAGGCGGTGGAGGAGTAAGACGTCTTCACCCGACCAGTGGCACTAAGTGCAAGCGCATTGGGCCATTTGGCTCGGCTGTATTTCAAATTGAGATAACAACAAGCCGCCGTCCGAGAAACAAAGGCAAGTAAGGGTTTGCATGACCTAAACGTCTTCAAGTCTGTAGACATCATATGCAACCTCTTCGTACGGATGAACCTGAAGTTGCCACATGTCAGGGCGTTCACATCCGATATTACGAAAAATATATCTTGCCGCTTTCAAATGACTTATCGCATGCTTGAGTTGTACTTTGTCCCCTTGATCATTGACCACAATTTCTACCCTATCCTCATCCACGTATTCAAGCTTGCCAGGCTCTCCAGTAAGAGGCCGAGCGTCAGGCCCTGGCTTGAACTGTCCTATGGATGACCTCAGACAAATTGCCCAGACGTAATCAATTGAAAGTCACTGCCTCAGTAAGACTCACCGACTCCAGGAGTGATGAATGCGCATTCCTCATACTGACCGATCTTACCGAGTACATTAGGGCATTGTTTGAACAGCGTGCTCAGGATCACCGCGGTGTGAGTTTTGGGGGTAAAAAATACAAGCTTAAACCGGAGTGACATCATTAAAGTTGGAAACAAGGGCTTTTCGGAGGTCACAGATGAAATGAAACACGGTAGGCACTAGTCTTAGCTTGAAAAGCCAATTTCATAATTTCCTTTTTTGACATAGTACAATATTCGGATGCTTTTCACAAGTAGTCAGTATCGACGATTTGTTGGCCACGTCGATAAAGGTTGGTAACCGCAAAGTCGCATCTACTAAGAGCAAGGCTAACGTTCAATGTGTCCCACTTTTGAAGATGAATCTGTCGTTATACAGCGTAAATGCGTTCCTCATCTTAGACGCTGAAGGACATCGTGTCCTCGCCAAGTACTACCGACCCAAAGGTCATCCCCAGGGCGAGTCCAAGGATCTTCTGGCGTTGAAGGACCAACGGGCATTTGAGAAGGGTCTATGGCAGAAAACCAAAAAGCCTGGAGGTGCGTAGCCGCACGTGTAACAGGAAAATTTACTCACAGGCAGTCCGTCGATGCATACGTATTCAGCCGATATCATACTCTACGACGGTCGTCTCGCAGTCTTCCGACATACATTGGACCTCATCTTCTACATTATCGGCGGTGCAACAGAGAACGAAATCATGCTTTACTCTGCTCTCACTGCGTTCTCTGACGCAGTCCATTTGTTGTTGCGGAATCAGGTTGAGAAGCGGGCTGTGCTGGAGAACCTCGACATGGTCCTTCTGTGCCTGGATGAAACAATCGATGATGGGTAAAGCGTTTCATTGATTAATGATCCAATGCATATTCACACCACTATCTCAACAGAATTATTGTAGAAACAGATTCGACGACAATTGCATCCAGAGTCAGTCGACCAAAGGCCGACACAACTGAGATTGTAATCAACGAGCAGACGATTCTGAGTGCGTATCAGACCGTCAGGGAAAAGGTCCAGCAGAGAATACAACAGCTGTAGATCCGTCATTTGTAGTCTGTCCATCATAGAACATTTGCATTTTACAGGGACCCTTGCCCGACCAAGCTTGAGAGAAAATTGCACAAAAAGCGCTTTCAAAATACTAATTTTACAACATCTAGATATGATAGCAGTAAACTAAAAAACATTGTATCACATAAGAATGATGGGAAAACAATTGGCCGACACTAGTACAAAAATGACCTAACTGATGATACATAGCGGTTCAGTAATGACCCATATACCAGATGGAGAACCGTCTGCAGTAACTGCATATAACCCTACACCGTTAGCTCGTCTTACATCCAGCTTTACCCTCCGATCCGATCCAGGGTAAGCTCGTCCCCTGCTTCTATTGAAGTCTTCTATGCTCTAAATCATACAAATCGACCTTCCGACGATTGAACAAAAAACGATGTGTCGTGTTTGCCAGTGCCGTGAGTACGGAACACTTGGACATCCGTCTGAATCGTCTCAGATCTAAAGAAGTGTGGAACTGCGAAGGAACTCAACGACAGAACCAAAAATCGATTTAAGCGCGACTAACCTTCCCTGCCCGGTACCAGCGTGGGCGATGTATTCATACACGGCTGCACTGGATGCAGCAACGGCAGTCAAAGCCGCTGCAATCTTTCGCAGCGTTGATACAGATTCAGCGGAGAGGCTGAAATCGGGGTGCTCGTAGATGGCATATGGACGCATGATGGCTTGTCTGTGTAAGGATTGTCGAAAGCGTCAAGGGGTTAACGTTCGAATATCGATGAACCACAAGAGCTGCGACAACCCCGAGATGAGGTAAAATGTGAGGCTAAGAAGCTACTAGATATAACTCACCAAGAATGGGGCCTTTAATACTACAAAATGTTGCCGGAGCCGACTTCGGGTTAGCATAATGCGATGACCACAAACGTTATCCTTGCTCGGATGGATATTTGAGGAACCGATGCCATGAGCGGTGATCCTTATTAGTATGTCAATCTCCCCGGATATACATAATTTTAACGGCCGTGTTTCAAGGGCCGGGAAATAAGCGTCATAACCGGAAAGATATTCGTGTTCGAGGCGCTGGCCAAGCTTCGAGTTTATCTTCGAATTCGGATTTGGTTGCTATACCAAGCACCCTGCATTTTGAGTCTTTGACAGAAACAGCTGGTGTAAATGATTATGAGACAAAGGACAACTCATTGTTGCCCCTTGGTCGCCTCCTTTGGAAATGTTACAGTATTAGCCTCGAAAGGATACGAGACTTGATGAACACACTAGTTTGGATACGGACTGAAACACGCACGAGTCTGCACAGCTATCGCAAAATGAACGTTAATGTAACGCAACTACACGTGTCGTATCGTCGATAATGCATTCCATCGAGATTTTCCCTGAGAAAATGAGAACAGAAGACAACCTAGTGTGAAATACTATCCCCCTACAGTCTGCCTTTCATGAGTCACGTGGGTTTACCATATCACATTTCCCAGCGAATAGCGAATAGACCGCTACTAGGGGTTAGCAGCTGTACCTATGTATATAGTGCAGGAAGCGGACTTCAATGCCGCCCATCGATGTCACAGGGTGCAGCGTCATGGGAATGATATTCAGGGCGCAATATCGCGTTCCTAAACAATGTTCAGACTTCAAATAACAAGAGTAGGGCGGAGAAGCTGGGGAAGATTATCAGATACATTAATGCTGCCACTCACACGAACTTATCGGTGACCTGATGCTAATGTCCACGGATCAGTGAATATTTCCACCGGTAGATAAGGTCGAACAAAAGATTGTGTACCAACAAAGAACCTCACAAGCGTCAAGGGACTCGTTACGGGTTTGAAATCAGTAAGGAAACATAGCAGGTATGTGAAGTAAGCCAAAAGAATGATGTAAATGCAGAGCGCACTGAAAGCGAGTGAGAGGTATATGACTAGAACAAACACACGAAATTGCTTGGGAACACGTGCCTACCAGCCTGTCGTCTAATCTCGTCAAGCAACTCCCCACTCCACCACCCGTCCTCTGGGGTATCAGTTACAGCGATTATATCGCCCGCTTGGAAATCAAATTCTTCGTCAATGGTTGCTGCGTAATCATACAGTGCTTTCACTGTGGAGTACGAGTTATGTTATGAACGCACAGATGTACATCTTCAAGCCACAAAACGTACCGTAAAACAGGATGGGGCGGCCATCATCAGTATAGGCACCTGTGGGAGGTGGTGGATGACGTGGAAGCTGTGGAGAAGGTGTGCGTGCCATGACAGGACTTGGCGCACGGTAGTTATTCGTGTTATGACCATAGTATGGTTGCTGAGGGTGTTGGTGATTGATGGTACCCTGGCTTGGGTGAGCCGCAATTGACGGATTCCGTGCAGGCGGACCGTAGTTGTTGTAAGGCTGCGATGGTGGTGGTGGAGGCTGGTAAGGAACAACAGGCTGAGAATCATATTGAGGACGTTGAGGCGGGTGATTATAGTTGTTGTAAGATTGTGGTTGTGGAGCAGGGGCAGCATAAGTCGCCACAGTACCATAATCAGCGCGAGGCTGCGGCTGCGGCTGCCGACTATCATTATTATGATACCCTGGGTATGATTGAGTGCTGGGTGGTTGTGCTTGGACGTAAGGTGATTGGCGCGGGGGTTGATGTGCCATATGATCCACAACGACACGACCATCTGGGCCAAGAGCAATGCCAACTGGGTTGTTCGGTGTCACTGGTCTTTGAGCGATTGACGGCTGACGAACAAGTGACCCCGCCGGAGGCTGAGGACCTAAATTTTGAGTACCAACACCAGGATAACCCCCCCTACTAGTCGGGCGTACCCCATTTGGATCCTGGGTTTGGTGGTTGTTGACAGGAGGTGGCGGGCCAACGAAGCTATTGGCCCTGCTACGAGACCGTTGTTCTCCTGGGAATACACGGCCATAGTTATTGAGGACTTGCTCGACTGGGAGATTCGAGGAGGGTGGTGGAAGTGAGGGTGGCGGGGCTGCAAGAACGGGTTTAGGAGGATTTGGAGAGTTCGAACGCGATGGTGCCAGAGGGTATGACCCAACCACGACTTCAGCTGAATTGCGGAAATCGCGATTGCCGGAGTAGACCGAAGAGGGGGTAACAAGAGATTCAGTGGTAGCTTTGCGAGGATCTTGTCCTGAGAGTGTGTCCCTGCGAACGGTAGGACGTCTAGCCAAGTTCTGAGCGGCAGTGCTCAGCTCAGCCATTTGCCTGACTAATGGGTCATTTTGCTCTCCAACAGGAGAAGTCCGAGGTTGGCCTCTCTGCTGTTGCGGGTCCTTGTTCGGATCAACATTCCAAGTCTGCCCTCCGATAACTAACTGCGTGTTAGAGACTGTGGGGCCAACTGAATCCCCACGGGGCTCTTGCATAGGCCGAAGAGCAGAGGCTGTACTATCACGCCTCTGTGCCTGGGACGGCTGAGATTGAACATCATGGAGAGGGGATACATGTCCGTTGACACCGTTCGTTTGAGAGCGTCCACTTTGAGATTTTTGGGTCTGACTTCTCGCGAGAGTAGATTCAGCAGGAGAGCTACGACTTCCTGCACCAATTGCCCCTACACCTGCATGGTTTGTATCGTCGTAGTCTTCAGGCTCCGGAGGCGGTGCGCTACGCCCTGCCGATGCCCTCTGGGAAGTTCGAGGATAGGTTGCAGGACGAGTAGCAATGCGAGTAGAAGATGAGGGCACTGCATCGGAACTGGTGTAGTTGACGAACGCCGGTGGTTCGGGTATCGCATTTCCCGTTGCATAATCGCGAACAAAATTCTCCATCTCCTTCTCCGGTTCCATTTGTTCCAGGGCGAGCCGCATTTTCTCGCAAGACTACACAGAGCGATTGCTAAACAGTGACAGCCAATGGTAGTGAAAGACTTACCTCATCATCCGAGACACATACTGTTGATACAGAATTGGCATAGGCCCACATATTATCCTTCATAAACTCCATCCGCTCTTCCTCGAGATCTTGACATGTGTCGCAGAATGCCTTCCAATCCTGCTCCCATTTCTGCATAGTCTCTTGCAACACCCGAGTAAACTGAGCGTAATCATTTTCGTTCACTTGCACTGTTTGCTGGGCACGTTCGAGCTTCAAGTGAATCTTCTCGAGATCTTTGCCCTGGACCAGCGTCGACTGAGCAGTGTAGGAGTTGATACGAAGGCAATCAGACTCATATTTCTCCCGAGCTTTGCTTGCATGCTGTTCGCGTGTTTGCTTCACTTTGTACTCCTTCTCGATAGCGACTTGATACGTCTTCTTGTGGTGTTGCTGCCTTGCGGAGAAAGCCGCGGCCTGACCTTCAAGGTCATTCCGTATTTGCTGCGAAAGCTGCAGGTGAAAACCGGCTTGCTTATCGGTTTCCAAACGCAACGTATCCACGGAGTTTCGTAGTTCCCTGCGAGTTGCGATCAGTAATGAAACCCAGGCATAGGCCACACGTTAGATGCAAAGTTGCGCCACCACACAGCTGAACGCTGTGTATTCGACCCGAGTAATGAGACGGGAAATACATATCCCTAAGTGCTTTGTGGAGCAACGTGTAGTTCTGCAACTTTCAGAACCACAACTGTGCCATCCCGCCCGCCCGACCAGAGCGGCCCGCAGGGGAAGGTCAGGGTTCAAAGAACTTGAGTAGCTCACCCTATTTCATCCTTGCCGATTGACATTTTGGCCAACTTCGCGAGCCGTTTTGCATAATCTTCCTCGATCGCAGATCTGCAGACATGTGTAAAGGTTAATGAGAAAAACATACGAAAGCCAACTTACCTCTCCTTCCAAAAGTTTCTCAACTCCTCCATTGTTCTTGCTGCTCCACGCATTCGAGCAAACAATACATCTACGCCTCCATCTCCAACACCCCAGAAAGAATTGCAGAAATCCAAAGAGCGAATGTTGGTATCGGGCGATGTGGTCCGTGCATATTTGGCTAGAGATGTTGTCGATGACTGCCTCCTGGCAGACATAATTCGTGATTTATGGCGAAATTGACAATCAGGCGAGGTACAGCAACTAAACTTGAAGTACAGAATGTCGTCGTTTCAAAGCGAACTGGGTCGTCGTCCGTTGGGTTATTCTTGAAAGTGCGTATACACGCCTCAGCAATGGCCAGTGGCAGTGCCATTCGGTGCATGTACTGCCACGCGAATTTGATAATTCAAATCGTGGCTATAGCGCTCATAGCTATAGCAGTACACTCCGGCTTCTGGAATAATGTGAAGAAAAATGTTTCCAACACTCTAGGATGAAGCAAAGGCCTCGTTGCGCTTTAAAAACAGGTTGCAGGCCTGCCGGAAGACAATTTTGAAGCTGCGTTCAGTGGAAATGTACCAAAGAATGGGAGAATGAATAGGCAGGTTCCCGACTGTTATGTTCACACTCTCCTTCAGACAGTGGCAGCGGTGGCGGAAGCGGGTGCGTGGCTGGTAACTATGCATCTAGTCTAGACTTGTCAATTTCTGCTGTGTAGAGTCTAGACAGCATCTGGACGAAGGTCGAGCTTGACCGGTCTGACCCTGCCGCGATGTCATATTCATTCTTTGTTGGACCTCGGGTCAACTTCCCACTAGTGACATCACATGTGCAACTCTCAGGTAACAGGTTACTAGTACTACTTCTTGGCGTTCACTGGCAACTTAGCTTGTATCTCAAAAGCTATGCAGGAGCAGGTAGAACCAGGAGTGTTTCTTCTCTCAGAGAAAGCGTGCGTGCGGTTATTTGGTTGTTCTGCTGTTGATAATATCTCAGTCTGTAGATCTTCACAACCTTCTTTCATCTAAAACAATGACTACACACGGCTTTGATTGCCAGTGAATAACTTTGGTGTCACAATACAGCATTGGTGCATCACAACGCCGTTCACTTGGGAAGACACATCACACAGATTTTGCTCACCTGAGACCAACCAAACATCACGTACCTGGATTGGTTTCAGGGAGCAATACGCTCCTCCTATCAATCCGCAGAATCTCGGAGCAAATGGTGGTATGTAATATATGTGCTATATAATCTGCACGACCGACAATGATTATTTTTGACCTACTGGCCTGATGATTTCCTCCCAGAAATTACCGAACGGGAGTATGAAAGCAACACACTTGGCGCCTATCCTGCGACATCTATTTGTAGACGTTCATGGACGAGATCTCGAAGTAGGCGTTTGTGAATGCAGTAGGGTTGTCTGTGGAGGGTTTACAATTATACTGGACATTTGCACAGGGGCACTTACTGTTGACGTAAGTCACACAGTCTAAAGGACATCCAGAAGCATTGTAGAGAGCCGGGTTACCTGCCCAATCGCCGCCTGCGCGGGGCATGAGCACGACGGACCACTACAAAACAATACAAGACTCACAGAACGTCAGATTAATGATAATGTTTTGGTTTTTAAAGTGAGACTGGATGTCACACTCGGTGTTGTTAGGGAAGTTGGCGGCAGGAGTGCCCTGGCAGTCAAATCATATGTAAGCATAATTCAAAAGAGATGTGAAAAGTATCACCCAGCTGTCAGTATCGATGATCCATGCACCGCTACTAACGTCCCAGGGAACAAATGGGTCGTGTCTCTCCCAGAACCAAACCTTGATATAGTGAAGTGTACGTTCCATAGCATACCTGCGGAGGAACCTGTAAGCCGCGAGAATGCTGAAAGTAAGTTTCTAGACCCGTAACGCACCATCCTCCGCCGATGCTGTTGAATCCTGGACCAAAACTGCTGTTATCTTGAGCGTACTTCACACCACACCCAACATTGTAAGCGACTATTGTATTTTAGCACAATGATGGAATCAGCTATGGTGGCATCACCTGAGGCATCGCAGTCGGTTGTGGCAAAGGTTCTAAACAATTAGCATTTTAGCCGGACGAGGTTCAATGCAGCAACGGATCAAAACATACCCTGACTGGAGAGTGGTATTTGGCATGGAGCAATCTGCGTCAAGTTTAACCTCATAGCAGTTACAAGTGTTATGGTGAACGAACTGTGGCCAGTGTGAAGCGTCGACTGATTAGGCACCACATTGTTTGCACCCTCGAGGATATCGATTTCACCCTGGCGAAGGGATGTACGTCAGGATGGTAGAGTTATCCCAAAAGGAAAAAGAACAAACACCGGCAGGCCAACCAATCTCTTTTGTTTCCCAGATAGCCTACTATCTGTTAGTAATGATAAACTTACTTCATCGGAACCGCCTACTTACGGGCCATGTTCTATTTTAAGATGTGTAAGCGACAGAATCCTTGAGCAAATTAAAGAAGCTCACCCGCATCCTTCGGGCATGTGCTGTATGTCAAAGCTATTATCGACAACGGCATCAGTCAGTACATAAGGCATTTACAAGGAATCAATTACACAACAACATGCTCGTGGTACTGACGATTAGACCGAATCCTAACCGAATTCCGGCCTGTGTCATTTACACCCAAAACCGTAGTGTCATCTGCGCGCAAGATAAAGGTGTCATCCGTGGCATAGGTCAAGTTGAGTCTCTCCGCCGTTGTTCGGTTGACATACGTCCTGGGATTCCATTAAAAATGAACAAATTGCGTGCATGGGGGGCGGACGTACACACGCCCGTGGGTGGGGTCAGTGATGTTCTCGAAATTGAAGGAGTCGTAGAAGCCTTCACCACGAACGCACTCGTCCAGGGTGTAGATCCTGCCTGCCAGAGCAGATCCCACAAGCGAGGCAAGAACGAGAGTCCTGCTGCTGCTGATCTTCATGGTGTACAACTAGGGAACTTGGCGAGAGGACGGACCTGTTTCACTCGGTATTTAATAAATCCACCCGACTCCCGACGCCCGCGACGAGCAGAAAAATATTAAGTATTAGTCCCGCGAGCAACGAAGACGTGTCATCTCCGAGAGGGACTCCGAGATTGAGCTACTAACGTAACTCGTTTCCGATCCGATTGGACGAACGGCAGGACTAGCCAAATAGCGAGCAAAGGATATTAAGATGACCTGCCACACGCTCCTGCACGAGGTCGGACCGGATCGAATGACGCGTTGTGCGAATGGATGCACATATCCTAGAAACTTTGTATTCAATGGCTAGCTGTTCAAACGCGTACCTTGTGTAAGAACTGGACAACGGTATAGTTACATACGCCGGGAAATGGAAAGCACAGCGAACGAATAACACATTTCTATTGGCTGACTACGTTAGTAAGGCACCACCTACTGGAAGTTCACATAAGAAAACTGGTTGATTCCACCAGTGACTGGTACTGATGGGCCAGGCTAGCCTGGGTCAAGAAGCACGGCAACTGCCAGTAGTCTCTGATGCAATATAAGATTTGCATATAGCTGCTAGCAGGTTAGCGTTGTCACAGCAGATCAAAACATACTGTGAGCTGAGACGGTAAAACAACTGATGCGAGCCGGTCATGCGAGTACACCGTGGTGTCATTATGTGCTGGCAGGCCTTGAGTGTGTCGAAAACACCTGCCAGCATGAACATCGGTAGGTCATTAATATCTTCAATATTCATTGAACTTTGAACCGGGGCCAGACTCACACGAGCGCTTCCGGAGACCGCAGGGCAACCCCACCCCAAGGCTGAAGATGGACGAATAATGTGCATCTACTGATGTACTATCAGTATCAACCACGACTCTAGTCAGTACGACAGGACTCTGACACGGAGGCCCGCGCCAAACCTCCCCGCTGCAATATAGTAGTAGGCACCGACGAGAGATAGATGAAGGGATGACTACAATAATCTCTTCATCACGAACAGTCCATGCTGAGAACTGGTCATTGTAGTAGGGTGGTTTGACGCAGATGCTCGAGAGCGCCAAGGTTCCTAGCTCGTAGTCAGTAGTAGTCCTGCGTTGTGCTGTAGTAATCGGTTCTCGCGGTAACCTCCCGCTATAGAGGTTTAGCCTTGGGTTTACCCTGTAGTCCGTGTCCGTTCCAACATGGCTCAAATCGGCACACGCGGGTGGACTACAATTCCATCTTGGATATACTCGCACTAATTGATGGTATCAGTGTTTTTGTATGTGAGATGCAGACAATTTGATCTGTTGAACGTCGCTCCGCATTAGATATGATTGAAAGTGTTACAGTTGAGCGGGATTCCAAGGGTCCGTGGGCTTCAAGTTACACATCTCACCGACACGACTCGCATTGTGGAATGGGTGCCTCGTACAAGAAGGCCGAGTATCAAGTGCAGTAGCACTGAACAAGTGATCGATCTATAGTGATAGCATGCAACACAAGTGGAAAGCAGAGAACGCAAGGGTGTCGAGAGAAGATATCATCCCACTCTATCCGAAAAATCCCTTGAAAAAATGGATCGCGTCGGATCTTGCTGAACACGATCATCTTTGAGCATCCTGTGCAGAGGAATCAAGACATGAGCCATATTTCGCCGAGAAAGACCTCACCGTGCGTCAACTCGCGCATCCTCGCCCTCGACTCCAATCACTGCCTGTGGCGTTTTAGCATCAATGACCTATTAGTAGTGTGATGAGATCTTATTCACAAGGATGCGATCGATGCCACTTACATAGTGATTGTCGCAGTGCGGGCAAAACTCATCGCTCTCCTCGTAGTTTGACATATCCTTCCTGAAGGCCTTCTTGCACTTCTTGCACACGAACACCATCTCAGTTGTTTTCCCTAACATATGATCTTCCGCCTCTGCATGACATTCTGCGCAATCAAACCATCGCTTGCAGCATGGAGCCCGTATCGAAACTTGAGCATTGAATATATGTTTGCTGGAATTGAGAGAATGAATGCCGCATCGAGATGGATGGAAGACGATACGCTACCGACCACATCACGATGAACAAGCAGAAGTCACTACGATTATCCGATAGTACTCGGCCTCAGGCTAGAATTCAAAATTCCTAATGAACTTCAACTCGAAAGCCCGATTCCCGACACAACCTTGCACTTTTCCCACGCTATCAGTATCATACCTCTGAACAAGACAACATGATGGTGCACCCGTAGTCAGATTTTCAGACCTTGATCAATAGTTGTTCCTTCATTTATCTCTATGTATTTTCAACGTTATAATAACACGCACCATCAATGGGGACATTGTATAATCTCATCTTATGCTTGATTTTGACGCCATGCGAATTTGCGAAAAGACTTACGGTGTTGCGCAAACCCATTATTAATATTATCAGCATGTACTTACTGTTTTTAAATATTGTTAGTCCAGTTCTAGCATGAGTTTGATTGAGACAAGTTTAGTGAAGTAAAATGAATGATGAGGCAACACATATGCATAAGTAGCTGACTGTTGTGCTTCGAGTCAGAGTTAGCAAAGTAGTCCACAGTGGTGAATAAAACGTCGATCCCGTTGGTGTATTTTTTCTGCCAAATCATTTGATATCACCGGTACCAAAGCGGTGGTTCTTCAACTTCTGCTTCCTCCATCAGCGCCCATCCACAACAACAGAAATATTGAGAGTCCTTACCAAGTGGTGATCGCCAGTTATACACAAGATGATTTATATTCGACTTCCGCATAACTGTATTATGTTTGGACAGAGCAGTGTCAGTGAGAGTGAGGGCAGTCCCCATTTGCACATTCCCATCCTTTGTTCTGCGATTTGGTTGCAGGGATAGTGACGGTGACATCTCGTACGGCCCATATTTTGTATTTTCCTCGTCCGATATGTCTTCGATTGAGAATTTCTGTATCGAGTGGCCGAGAGCTACTGCCTCATAGGGGGGCAATTTATATGTGGACACATGTTGATCTCCACGCTGCACATTCATAGAATCTTTTCCGGATGTATTTGATTGGGGGAATCGGCGGAGCTCGCGAACCGCCTCCATATTTGCCATTTCCCCCTTGATTGAGCGCGGGAAGAATATCTGAGGTTCACTGCTTCGAATCAAATTACACCACTAGCAGTTATAAATGACGCACGATAAGAGTAATCCCAGAGGACACGGTACAACCTATGCTCGCAATCATCCCCAATAGGTCTAATCAGAAAGATGTGTTAATAACTCAAGCCTGCCGGGCACAGTAGAGTTGCATACCAGTGGCAAACCTAGACGATAAATTTAGCATGACGTTAGCATATTTCGGAGGCAGGCACACAACACACGCACATGTTATCGTTGATGTGCTGATGCGGTCTGACACCATCGATACCCAATATCAACAACGGAACCGTGAAGAGAAAGCGAAAAAAGACCCGGATACACTTCCATGTACCACATGAGTCGAGTAATGATATCACAACTGCGCAAAGCTTACGTTGAGCTCGTGAAACTTTGTAAGTCTAACCATTGTGTTGATATCAACATCGGCTTGTTTCTGAAGAGAATGGTCAGACCAGATCATATTCCTGCCGATCGAAATGAACTAACCAGGCTCTCGAGGAATGTGGGGAATGTCCACAAAATCGGAAGAAACCATATTGTCAAAGAAAAGCTTCCGAGACTCCCAGCCAAGAATGTGTAAGCCTCGCACTAGTAAAAGCTTACAATTTTTGTTTGATATTCAAACATGTAAATAACAGACCTTGTAGGGGTCCTGCCGCGTGAAAACCGTTACAAGGGGCATATAAATGACTGCGACTATAGATCCTGTCGCCCATATTTTGAAATATAGGCTGCGGAACCAATCTTGTTTCGCAGAGCTAGAGCGAATCAGGAAAAGCCAAAAGCACAGCTCTACAGGAAGAAAATTGAGTCTCAACTCAAATATCAAGGCGTGAAAGATGAACCTTCTAGGTGTGTTACCCTTAGTCGAAACGTGAGTCGGTGTCGGTGAGGATCGGTTGGGTAGACTCACATCTCTAATGCCCAACCAACTGAAAAACACAGGTACAGGGGGAGGATTGCGATTTGTGCACTGTCGCGCCAAAGCTCATACGGAGTGGGCATGACTTTGAAAATTTGGCATTAGCGGGAGATGTCAAGGTCACCAATTGGATTCACTCACTACCCATCCCGGGAATAACAGTGAAACCATAACTGTATTTGATAATGGAGAAACCCATAGCGTAGATTGCGATCAACGGAAGACTGGTTAAATAAGAATACTGTGAGACTATGTGAGTGATAAAATGGAAAAGAAGGAAGCGTAACGCACCGTCATGACCCGCTTGAATGTACCAGAACGCGGTCCATGATTCCACCTGTACAGATGTACTTAGGGCAATCATAAATTGTGTGTGCAACAATCCACCAACTTCAGACATTTGAAACAATCAAAGCACCAGAGATGATAAACTAAAAAGGATTCGAACTGAACCGAATGGATGTCAGCATTTCTTCCATTGAACAATCGAACACTGGACAGACCATAATTGTAAGCGCTGCCCATATAAGATTGACGGCTGGACTCAAGTGGGCCATGATTCAAAGGCGAGCAAGGGAGAATAAGTGGAAAGAGGAGGAGGCCAGCCTGAGTATGAGAGTTGCGCGAAACAATGATGGAGACCTATATAGTGCGTCAGTAAAGTCTCGCTCACACCTGGAAGAGAAAGGATCGCGAAACAGAAGCGAGTATGTTTAGGAGGCATGGTACATACATATTAATATATGGCATGTTCCTGCTGACCACGGGGACGATGATCTAAGTGGCAAGTGATTACAGGTACCAAGTTTGTGGTACCTGTAACGGGTCCGGGAGTGGCTAGTATTTGTTTGCGATCAGCACAGGTTCAATTACGACCGTCATCATACAGTCGAGCTGATTCAACAAAAACGAACCAATGCGGAGCTTATCGGAGTGCTGTGCTATTCAGTAACCCAGCATGTGGCAGCACCGCCGCTGCAACCGCGATCGCGGCCGGGGTGTACAAGTCGCTTAACTTGTGAAAAAAAATCACCAAAGGCCCGGTAGTAAAAGTGGTGAACTGCCGGGCCGTCGGATCTCGGTAAATATGATTGGTTGATGAATGAATCTGATTCATATCATTTTCTAAATCTTTCATGTACAATGGCTACATGGCCGCTGCCCACAGACGATGACAAGGAAAACCTTCTCCTCTCATGTCGATACGATGATCTCGACGACGTACAAGGTTTCGTAACAAAATTCGGCTCAGACGCCCTCTCCGGCGTCCGAGACGACAACGGAAACACTGTGCTACACATGACATGCGGGAATGGACACATAGGTGAGACGCGATCTCATCGTATCACATCTCCATACCACGAGAACTGATTCGCGTAAGGTATCTCGTAGACGTGCTGGATTATCTTCTTCCTCTTGTCTCCCCTTCCGTCCTGTCTGCACAAAATAGCGCCGGCTCCACTGCCTTGCACTGGGCAGCGCTGAACCAGCATCTCGAAGTAGCGCAGAAGCTGGTTCACTTTACTGGGGCAGATCTGATTGATATAAAAAATACCGCAGGACGATCACCCTTGGGGGAAGCTGAAATGATTGGATGGGATGAGGGCGCAAGGTGGCTTGTGCAGGAGATGAAACTCGACGAAACAAGCCAACATGACGTCAATGATAACGAACAAGATAGCTCCATGGCCATGGAGGCTGCACAGGATGTAGAAGTAGAGATCCAAGATGCGGATGGTCAGGTGGCAAAGATGACGATAAGCGGTGGCGCAACTACCTGATTGTTTTGAATCCAAGTAGGTTTGGTATATCCATGCCATGTGCGAGTACTGTCTTATAATATCACGCAGCCATCACATCAGGATCTTAATCCAGTCGGGTGCATATGAAACACAGAAGCGCTCTGCCAAGTCTGGCAACGAGCCTGAGCATTTCACTTTTGGACGAGTACTTGGTTCTACAGCCATTTCAATTCTATAGGTCGCGTGAACGATAACATAGTGATGGCCGGGTTGAATTCTCCGTAGAACAGTACCATGGAATTGGACTTACATCAAACTCATCTGATAATCTGAGCAGCACAACATGAAGTTTAGGCGTTCGATCCTAATACGTTACACCTTCTTGAATCTTCGCGCGATAAACGTAGGACATTGCATGATGTAGAATGGAAACGCCCAGGGTCGCGTAGCCAGATGTCACCTATGACACAGCACGAGTCCACAACTATCAAAATTACCATGTGGTTACTGCACAAATCAAATACATGGGGGAAACTGGGAAAGAAAACACATCGAAATTCACGTAACATTCAAGGGGTAAAACTCCATCTTCATCACGTTTCACATCGACGGTGACCGTTCTTCCACAGGCCATGACAATGCTGCTGCGGAGAGGTGTGAGTGTGTAGTTGACGTCCCTCTTCACCATCTTTCACCGTCCATTTTCCCGCAGCATGCTTCTCCGTAACATTACGTGACAACCAGTCGTCTGGGTTTGCCGTTCTACAATTTGATTTTGCATACCACGACTTCTCGTTTCCAGATTCATCAATATGTGCAAATTCGTTTGGTGGAGGATTGGCCAAGAAAAGCGCGCCACGCTTCCACGCGACTGCTTCCGAAGTGGGAGAGAGAAATTCGCGTGGTGCAAACGGACTCCAAGGAGACAAGGTAGACGAACGAGACCTTGTTTCCAGCATAGGCGACGAAAATCCAGATCTCACGCGCTCCGAACGACGTGGCATGGGCTTTGTCTGCTGTGAGACAGTGTAGACGAGCTCGCCGGCCACACGTCGTTGCGGAGGAACATACTTTGCATAGGCGCCTGAGCGTAGGGTCAATCCGGGGAAGCTGCATCGACGTTCATCAGAGAACGTGTATTATCCGTTCAGGTTGACATACCTGTCAGCTTGATTGGAGGCCAACGCCGGCGTCCCCGGCTTTGTTACGAGATTATCGTCAAGGGGCTGAACTTGCGTCTCACAGGAATTGGGCTGTTGTAGTGAGGTGTGGGCACACGGCGTCTTTCGCGTAACTACAGACCAGGAAGCAGGACGAGATGCGGACCCACTGGAAAGGTTCCTGTCGGGCTGGTCACCATCAGTGGCGGTGGTTTGAGACAGGTGAGGTATAGTCCTGGCACTCTTTGGTTTGAGCGGCTTTAAAGTCGTAAAAGCGGCGGTGACTCTCAGTCTTTCTTGCACAGCTGTCTCCCAGAACGAATCTGGACCGTCGGATTTACGTTCTGACCCAGTTGACAGACTGTAGTCCGGTTTAACCTTGGTACCGACAAGTCCATTTGATGAATGTTGACTGCCTCTGCTACAAGGGACCGGCGTGCTGGCACTCCGGCGATGTATATCGAATGGCGTAGCTGTGTGTTCCGAATCACAAAGAGAATCGCACTCTAATACATTATCGCATCTGGAAGTTGATGGTGAAGGACGGGAAGTAACGTGATTCTCGTTCTTGTTAATGGATTGTTGTGAAGATAATCCGAGAGCCAATTGATCCCTTGGAGACTCGCTGCAGAAAGACCCTTCCTCGCAGCTTGAATCACTATCTTCCTCGAGATCGGCACCGATCCCAGCCGTGTGAGACCAACTTCGCTTTTTGGGAACCATCGATGAAAAAGAAGTTTGGCTACTCAAGACGGAAAGATGCCCGTCATGGTTGGGCCTTGCAGGTATAGTCATTTGAAGGTCGCCATCGTGAGTTGCATCATCACGCTTGCGAGCTGGCCAACGCACATCGTGCGTTCTTGGTTTTTCGCGAGATACAGCCTCAGCCAGTGGCGGGAAGTTGCGGACGAGATGCACCGGACATAAGGGTTGGCGTGGGTCCTCAGGCCTAGCATTGTGGATGACCAGTTCGAAACCTGGGGAGCTCGACGATTTGAGTGCAGGTGAGACGTCCAGGGACGCCGGATCATTGCAGGACACAGACTCTTGACTCGGTGTGCGTTCGGTATCGCGATGTTCGTTAGCTGTTTCACGTGGCAATACACATAGACTGTTATATAGGTGTAGGGCTGCGCCAATAACTTTGGGACTGTCCAGATCCTCATGTAAGGCATGTATGTCGGGAGCTCGCAAGATGTCTTGTTGTGTAGCAAGCAAACCTGAATCGCTGTTGAACGCTTCTTGGTCGGGAGTGATGCATACGCTCTCGGTCCCGGATAGCTCGAGTGAAACAGCTGCACTTAGAGATTCGCTATCACTGTCGAAAATGGTTTCAAGGCTACCCCATGATGGGAGGTCCAGTAGACGAATTTTGTTTTTAAACTGGAGGCAAGTGACAGAACACAGACATATGAGACCAAGGTTGAGGGCAACCAAGACCAGGATGCTGCAAAAACCACTGTTAAAATAAATCAACTGGTTAGAGTAAAGCAAAACTAATCTAAATGTCAGCAGAGGTAACCACAGTCTGGAGTATGGCCTGACCTAGAGAATCCACGAAATTTGACAAGTAGTGTTTGTGCTGGGAAATCAAGAGTGCATATGTGAGAGTGGAGGATGACGGAGGAGAATGGTGGTCATGAGCAGAGACACGACTGCTTCTATTGCTCGAGGCGAATCCGGCGGGAAGATAGTTTGCCGGAGGATTTGGCCACAGGAAGTTGTGTCTCTCGAGGACCGTAGAGTCTCCGTCGATGCTCCTAACAGAACTGAAGGGATCCAGGGTCGCCAGCAAGGGTGACCATTGGAATAGTTTGAGAAGGGCTAATAACGAATATCGCAAGAAGAAAGTCATAGAACTGAACGCAACAAACGATAGAAAGAAATATTGAAGGCCTAATGCGCAGAGACCTAAGGTATACACTCCGTAGGTATTTTCGCAACTTGCCGCACCACCGTGACTTACCGCATCATACCACACCGAAACATACATTTAACGTCATTTCCGACAACTACTCTAATCATACACAAGATAATTGACCTAGCAGTAATACTCGTCGAACTCATCAACTATACGCCTCTTGGACATGACTTTGAGAGGCCGAATTTAGAGGACGTGTTGGGCGCGGCAGCAGTGCCAGTGAGTCCTAGTAATATCGTACGAGACATGGCTTTTGGCTGGACAGCAATGCCAACCTCTTCACGAGTGTGCATGTGAGCATGTCGACGGCGAGTGGACTTCCCAGCCTCTGTGGCTTTTATGGCGCTGTGGTGTCGAAGGTTTGCACGAATTTTGTCGAATGTCTCGAATGTTTCAACTGAAGATTACACCGTCGTGCAGATTGTGTTGTGCCGAGATCAGAAAATGTGCGTTCTACTTCACCTGCATGCCCTACAATTGAGAGAATCGTAACAGCAAAGGCCTTGAGAGGGTGGATCTCGGAGTTGATTGGAAGGTTTTGCCACAAAGAAAGGCCGTCCGCTTGGCCACCAGCAAACGGAGCTACTGACTGAATTGTAGGCCTGCAGTTTTTCCAGTTCTGCCGGTTGCAACCGGCAAAACTGACCCCAAGCAGTTTTGCCCCCTACACTACTTACTGTGGGAGCCGAACAATTCCGGAGTGATAGTAGGTCACTCATCACCGCTACGATTCCGTATATTTCTGAAAACAGCTGTAAGCTGTTCCATTGCTCACGTAGGCGTATAAAATGAGTACGGCTGGTTGATGTGGTCCTCAACTCCAGTTCTCTCCCCCTTACACACTCGTTACAAATGCCCCCCAAGGCAAGATCATTGCTCGAGCTCACCAGGCTTCACTTGGGGTGTGACTTCATGTTCTAGCCCTTCGGTGAGTCGAAAGATGCATGGGGGACACTACTCATCGGCTGATTTTATTGTACTTAGCGTGGGGCTTGCTGGCGGCATCATACCATGTAGCATTACCCACGAATGAAGTTGTCACGAACACTTTGTTCTATGCGTTGTTAGGCACGCTGGTACATAGTGCAGGCTGCGTCATAGATGACATGCTTGACCGCGAGTTCGATCGCAAAGTTGGTATGTCGATTCCATTCTAATTGTCGCTAATCGCCTACGTTCAAAAAACCGACCGATCGCCTCGGAAGCTGTCACTATTCCAGAGGCCTCAGCTCTTCTGATCGTGCTCGTTGCTCCCATTTTTTACATGTTCTCAACTGCTGGCCCTACAGCGTGAGTAGATTATCCAGAAAGTAGACTTCTCTGACAGGCTCGTTTAGTCTGTTACTCGGTCTTGTTGGACTCCCAGCTTGTGGTGGAACGTATCCGCTAATGAAGCGCTGGATGTATTGGCCGTCTTTGTACCTTGGTATGGCTTTCTTGCAATTAAAAATTGTGCACCGTCTTATTTAGTTCTCAGGTTTTGCTGTTAGCTGGGCCATCCCATTCACATGGGTGGCAATTACGGGTGAGTTTGATTGGGGCATGATACTGAATGTCGGAGTCGCGTCATGCTGGTAAGTGTGCCAGAAAGGTGTTTGTTTCTCCGAGGGGCTGACGGTGCCTCCCTAGCTGGACGTGTATTTACGACACTATCTACGCGTGTCAGGTGACTAGCCCACTTGGTTCTACTTTGAAATGTCGGTGTTAATTACGTTATATCAGGACAAGAAGGACGACGAAAAGGCTGGAGTCAAGTCCATGGCAGTCCGTCTGGGCGATGGCATTCGTCCTGCATTGAGCGTATTTGATGCGATATTCTTTGCGTGTCTTCTGTGGGCTGGGTACTTGAATGGCCAGCACCTACCGTTCTACGTGATGAGTGTCATTGCGCCCTTCCTCCTCTGTCTGTGGCACATATGGTCATTTGATCATAATGATCCCCAAGACAGCTCGAAGACATTTTCGGTATGTTGAAGTGTATAACTATGAGCTGATTCTGATATCCTATTGTTGTACTGCAGGCATGTCGCCACGGCGCAGCGTTGGTGTGCGCAGGATTGGTCGTGGACCATTACTGTAATCTTGTGTCCCTGGCCATTTGAGCATGTACTTTCATCTCAGGCTGGATTCGAGGTGACGCCTTCAACCATCTTGTTAATGTACTTACCACAACCTTGCACTTGCCTGTTGTTATCCTGGAGTGTCGCTCTTGTTGTCTAACCTACAAACCAATAGATGAATCGACGTACTTACTACAGTCTTTCGCTTTCAAGTTCATGTTTTTATCCTGGAGTACTGTTTATGTTTTTTGATGTACAAACTAATAGATGATTGATAATGCAGACATCGCAAATTAGTGTGATAATCACCCCTGCGTGGCAGTAGGGAAAGAGGAAGTACAGAGATCAAGCCAGGCGGCCTGGAGTATCGCATTTGCTTCCTCTTCAGGAGTAGGAACCGAGTCCGTTCATGTCACTGAGCGACGTTCAGTCAAAATACTTTTTGGCCAACTGCTGAGCCCCTTGTGGATAAGTTACAGCCTGTTGGACTGCCGGTGAGCCCTCGCATCATCCTCTGCCGACCTGCAGTGTGCACAGCATGATGGACATCACGCCTTCAGGGCTCTAGAAATCTTATAATTGTGTATGTCTTTTTCGAACATCGGAAATTCAGCCTCATGTTATATTGCCCACTTAAAACTGGGCAGGAAACCGATCTTTGCAGTTGTAACTCCCTCCTGCCAGTAAACACTCACTTGCATAGTGAACAAGTAGATACTAGATGAGTAGCAACCAAGTTGCTATAAAATAAAGTATACGAACAGTTCCCTGGCAGATATAGTGAATAATTAGCGTAATATGGAATATATACAATAGGGCGTCCAGCGCTGCAGCAAAAACTATTCACAAGGATCTAACCCACGCCATGCAAGGACCCAAACTCAAGTGCTGTCCCTCACACCAGCAGCAGGAAAGTCATTCCCTGCGATATCCTTGAACACCTGATCATCTTTGTGTTTCTCCCTTCTCTCCTTAACAATCGCCAGCAACGTGTGCCTCTTCCTCCTGTGCACTTTCAGATCATCCACGTCGCTATCACAAGCTGAGGATGTATTGAAACGGTTGAGCGCTCGGAACACCTGCCTTATGAAGCCTGGAGGAGGGGTGGATTGCGATGATGCAGATGGCGAAGAAGATCGAGAGGGAGAGGAGGTGTTTGTGCAAGCCGGAAGGCACAACACCATCCCTGTGAACACCATCTGTGTGCAAGACGGAGAGCGCGACAACACCCCTCTGAACACCATCTGTGTGCGAGATACTGTAGGAGCGCCACCACGGGGATCAGGGCAGATGACGGTACGTGTGGTAAGCACGTCAACGGACTCATTGGCAGGAGGAGGGGTGGATCACGATGACGCAGATGGCGAAGAGGATTGAGAGGGAGAGGAGGTGTTTGTGGGAAATGAGCGCGACAATGCCCCTGTGGGGATCAAAATGGATGATGGTGCCTGTGGCAACCTTGTCGACGGAGTCATTGAAGCCTGGAGGAGGGATGGATCGTGGTGACACAGATGGGGAAGATTGAGAAGGAGAAGGAGAGGAGGTGTTTGTGCGAGACGGAGGGCGCCTGAACACTATCTCTGTGACAGATAGTATAGGAGCGCCACCATGGGGATTGGGCTCAGAGCGGGTGATGGTATGTGTGGCAACCTTGTCGATGGAGTCATGTACGTCGACAGGCGTAGTGACGCGTGTAGTGCATGTGTCCTTAGGGGATGGGCATGATCCCTTCAAATCAGGATCTTTTCCCTCAACAGGATCAACTACAATCTTGTGGTCCAGCCGTACATCACTCGCGCTCGTTTTCTCGCTCTTGACGCAAGGGCCCGGCCTCATCGGCGTCGAATCTGAAGTGCGGGTTTTGAAAAGTGAGGCAAGTCTCTGAAGAATAACAAGGAATAATGTTAGGAAACGCAGGGTGATGAAACCAAAGGAAATACTGATCATGTTTGTATGCCGCAGGGGGTCGAAACGTTGTGCGTCCATGGGGTTGTAACGTGTGTGACCCGTTTATACGTTTATACGGTAAGCGGATATAAGTCCTGGAAATATTTGATGTAAGCTAAGATTTTAGAACGTAAATGAGGAGAGCGAGTGATGACCTTCTCATGTTCGGGAAAGAGGTATTTAAGCAAAGCAGGCGCCGCTCACTATGCCACTAAGGTTTTTGTTCGTTTGCTTCGACAATTATTTTCGTGTTATGAAGTTCACCCACAGCTCACGAAGTATTTAATTCTTGGGTCTAAACAAAAAAACGTGTCTTCCAGCCGAGAGCTACGCGTTAGAACTTAGCATTGAAAGATATGACTCAACAGGTCTGAGCACGCTTGTTATTGTATGATTGTTGTGTTGACATGATATTCGTAGATACACCACGCACAATCAATGTACGAGCTCCGAAACGGCCCTCCATTGTATGCGCAACTCGATGGGACAAAATCTGAGTTTGAGATACGGAAAGCGAGGAGGGTGGCGGTACCAATGTTGGATATTAAACCCTTCGCTATGGTCACTCAGTCCCGCTGTATTATCTAAGTACCTACAAATATCGTTTGTTCTCGCGCACTTCGTAGCTTCCCTCAGTTGACTTCGCACGTCCGCTGAGGTTAGTAGCACCTTCGTATATCTCATGTACCTAACTAACACACATCTGTAGCTGAGCTGCTACAGGTATATACCAATACATTCAGTTGACTTCACACGTCCGCTGAGCTGAGCTGCTACAGGTTATGAGCCCTGCGCACCAATAGTAAAATTTCAAATTAGGCGCGCGAAGAAAAAGACTCACAATGTCCGTTTCAAATGGAAAACTGGGAGAAGACTTTCTCCGGATCCCGAAGCTAGCTGCTGATGGGGAAAATTGGATGATGTATAAGGAGCGTCTACAATGGTCGATAGACGCTCATGGATTGCTCGGCCACTTGGATGGCACGGAGAAAAAACCAATTGACCCGCAGACCCTCCCTAATCGTGGACCGTCCTGGACACCAGCAACCCCTGACGAAGTAAAGGAGGTCAGCACGTACAAAACAGAATTGAAAGACTGGCGCACGGGCCAAGCAATCACAAAGCAACAAATTGCGGGAACAATTCCCGATTCCCTATTCATTCAAATCAAAAATCTAGATATGGCCAAAGACATCTTTACGCACCTTTCGAGTCTATTCGAGCAACGCTCGCGCGTAGTCTCTGTCGAGCTATTGCGCAAATTGCAGGACCTAAAATGCCCCGAAAAGGGCAACGTTCGCGAGCACCTCGACAAAATGCGCTCTGCAAAGGAACAGTTGTCGTCGTTGGGCCATGCGCCAACGGACGAAAGCTTCGCGGCCATGATCATGAGCTCGCTCCCGGCGTCCTATGACCCACATCCATCTGCGCTGACAGCATCAGCAAAAGTATCGAGCGTTAAGCTCACCTCGGATGTACTGATGTCGACTATCGTCGACGAGTACGATCGTTGAGCGTCGAAGTCGAAAAAGGCCGGATCTTCGAGCGATGACGCAGCCTATAACGCAAATGCGGGCCAGCGTACTCGTAAGATAAAGGGGAATTGCCACAACTGCGGCAAGTATGGCCACATGCAGCGTGATTGTCGCGGACCTGGGGGAGGAGGATCAGCCGGAGGAAAAGGGAAAGACAAATCCGACGCCAAGGGAAAACGAGCTGAAACGGCCGCCAGCGCCAAAGACAAGGCAAATGATGACGAGCCTGAAGGTGTTTGGTTAGCGCATGAAACTGCAGGAACAGACGAACAAACCTCGCTCACATACTCGATGCTAACAAGCTCGAGTCATAGCCAAGAACAGCGGATCGAACTGTTCGACTCTGGCGCATCACGACATATGTCGTCGTACCGCGACCTGTTCCAAGATTTCGTCAACATCGCCCCAAAGCCAATTACAACCGCTGACAAACATACCTTCCAAGCAACTGGCAAAGGCAAAGTCATGATTCTGTTGCCAAACAGAAATTCCAGTACACGCATCTTGCTGAAAGATGTCCTATACGCACCTAAGATGGGCGTGACCCTCGTGTCAATCAGCCGACTTACCGCGGCCGGATACGCTGCACTATTCCGCGACAGCTCCTGCAAGATATTCAATGATAAAAAGAAGCTGTTGGGAGAGATTCCGGTGAATAAGGGCTTATATAGTGTCAAAAGACCAAAGACACCATACGCTGGAGCAGCAGCTGCAAAGGAAAAACTCACCATGCAGGAACTTCACGCCAGGCTAGGGCACATGGCGCCAAGCACCATCGCGCAAATGATCTGCGACGAAGCAATCACCGGAATAAGTCTTGACGCGGCCGAAAAGACGATGGACGGTTGTGAATCCTGCGAGTACGCAAAAGCTGCTCGAAAACCCATTGGCAAAGTCCGCGAGCCTGCGCGCTGTGAAAACTTTGGTGACGAAGTCCATACGGACTTATGGGGACCTTCTCCAGTAAGAACTCCTGGCCATAAAGAATATTTTGCGTCATTTACAGATGACCACACACGATTCACTCACCTGTACCTGCTAAAAACCAAAGATGAGACGTTCGACGCGTACAAGAAGTTCGAAGCCTGGGCGAGTACGCAGCCCGACACGAAGATCAAGCGTCTGCACTCAGACCGCGGTGGAGAATTCACTAGTGAGGAGTTCACACGTCACCTAAGTAGCAAAGGGACAGAATGCAAACTAACCGTGCACGATACGCCAGAGCATAATGGAGTTGCTGAACGCCTTAACCGAACTGTCGTGGAAAGAGCTCGTGCATTGCTGCATGCCAGTGGACTGCCCAAATTCCTATGGGGGGAGGCCATTATGCACGTAACGTGGTTGAAAAACCGAACCGTCACCCACGCGCTAGGTAATAAAACGCCTTATGAAGCGTTATTCAACAAAAAGCCCAACCTGGAGAACTTACCTGTCTGGGGGAGTCGCGTCAAGGTCCACACCACTGACGGCTCCAAACTGGACATGCGCGCGATAGAAGGACGATGGGTGGGCTATGACGCACAGAGCAATGGGCATCGAGTGTATCTGCCCGACACCAGGCGCATAGCTGTCAAACGCAGCGTCAGATTTGACACCGCAGAGGTCAGAATACCTCTAGAAGGACCTGAGGAAGGGGGACACCACACGGTACGAACCGATGATGTCGGTTCAACAACCCCACCAACAGTCAGCCACACGGCACGAATCAATGATGTCAGTTCGAAACTCACCGGCAAGCCACCAACCCAAAACCCTGTTCCACCTTCTCCTACAGACCACCTAGGCCCTCAATTCGAAAACGCAACGTTACCACGCCGATCTGGACGAGTGAGAATCGAGTCAGCGTACATAAAGAGCCTGCGCGAAGGCACAGGCACAACGGACGGTAGTAGCGCGAACTTACCTCGCGGGATGCAGCCCGTGGGGGAGTCGAGTAACCTGGCTGCAGAGCTAGGAATAGAGGGAGAGTATGGAGAGACGGACGAGGACGATGAAGAAGTCTTTGCGATGGTAGCCGGAGTTGCCGAAGTGGAGAGCACAGACCCCACAACGCTGGAAGAAGCTAGAAAAAGAAACGATCGGTCAAGATGGGATGAAGCTGTGAACAAGGAACTCACCGCATTGAACGAAGCCGGCACATGGTCCGTAGTTGAAAAGCCGCAGGGAGTAAACGTTGTAGGATGTAAGTGGGTGTTCCGCATCAAGCGGAATGCGGATGGAGAGATAGACAAGTACAAAGCCTGGCTGGTAGCCAAAGGCTATTCACAGGTCTATGGTGTCGATTATTACGACACATATGCGCCTGTTGCGTGTCTCGCATCTCTCCGAACCATCACGGCAATTGCCGCGCGTAATGACTGGGATATTGATGTCTTCGATTTCCACAGCGCCTTCCTCAACGGCAAGCTCGACCCCGACGAGATCATCTTTATGCAACTTCCTCCTGGACTTCACGTCGACTCTCAATTCAAAAACCCCGTCGCACGCCTCCATGTCGCGCTTTACGGCTCCAAGCAGGGAGCTCTCAAATGGTATCAACAGTTATGTCGTCTCCTTCACGACTTGGGGCTAACATGCGCAGAATACGATTGGGGCGTGTTTTACAAACACGTTGGCCCTGACATCCTCATCCTTGCTGCTCACGTCGACAACTGCACCATCACTGGCAGTAACCGCACGCTCATCGCCGAGCTCAAGCAGCAAGTAGCTGCACGCTACAAACTTACGGACCTTGGCTCAGTCGCATCTCTTCTCGGCATGAAGGTGACGCGCGACCGTGTCGCGCGCACCATCTCGTTCTCGCACGAGACGTACATTGAGTCCATTCTAGCTAAGTACAATTTCACCGACTTCAAGCCCTGCTCCATTCCTATGGACCCAAACGCACCACTGTCCCTTTCGCAATCTCCCAAAACACCGGCTGAGGCCACCCTCATGAAGAATATCCCGTATCACGAAGCTGTAGGCTCGCTGATGCACCTAGCCATCGGCACACGACCTGACATCGTGTTCGCCGTATCGACCGTCGCGCAATTCGGCGCGAACCCGGGGATGGCGCACTGGGATGCTGTCAAACGCATCTATTGTTACCTCGTCGGTACGAAGAAACTTGCACTCACCTTCGGAAGCTGCAGGCAAGGACTGGAAGGGTTCTCAGACGCAGACGGCGCGTCGCAAGAACACAGACACGCGGTGTCTGGATATGCTGTAGGACACGAGCTGGCGCTGGGCTCGTATCGAGCTATTTCACAGTACACGCCAAATACCTGTCACATGCTAATCACTTCCCGATGTTATCCGACGCTAACCCGCCAAACCGACGTTTAGGCCGCATCGGACCCGATGTTTTCCCGCGCACTTGTCCTATCCGTGTCCCGTCCCGTCTTGCTAGCCCCACTAGGTGTGTAGTTCATTATTTCGCACATTACTCACGTCGTAGCCAGCGCTATTACATGTTTTCCCATAGTCCGCAGCACCTCATGTTTATTTACATGTACTTCGGAT